ATGGGTCTCTTGATTGACAAAATAATATACAGTACTCCTCTTTTATCGGCCAGGTTACGTTCTGTAAATGACGTCGTCAAAAGAAACGCATCATCTGCGTGATGGTTCGTAATTTTCCTGTATTAGCATATGTTGAATAAATGTACCTTTAAGCATTAATGCGTTTCCTTTACACATAACAGCCTTAAATAATAGTGTATAATAATAATATAATAAATTGGACAAAAGCCCTTTAGCAAACTTCTGATTTCATTTATTGGAAGTGAACGCCGGTCCTTACGGCAAAACATGCAGTGTACAGTATATACAAGTGTTCTTGATGATTGAGGCTTATTAAAAGCCCTGACCAGTCCAGATGAGTCAAGGTCTGCATCTTCTTGAGGGTGTGGGCGATTACTGTCTTGCCCATTTGTTTGGCAGTGCGGCAGCTTCGTCCTTGTTGTTGTGAGGTGTCGGCGGCTTCTGCCTCCTGTTGCAGGATGCGGCAGATTCGGCGATGGCAGGCACTCGGCGACTGAAGGATTAGTGATGGTGGTCTGTGCTTTCTTGCTTCTCATTTCCTCTGCAGTTCTATATGGCAACATAACATTTCAATAGCTCTCACCTTGCTTTCAAGGGACCTATCAGGGAGGGATCAATGTGTCATAGGGAGCGGTGAGGGGCCTTACTCATTCTTATTACTTCACCAAGATATCTAAGTTAAGTTCTTATTTTTCATCGCCCACTCACTTCATCTTCTGCTCCATCCTGCAGCTCCACACTAATTGTTCCTAGTTCATCATATAAATGGATCTAACATTTCCCAATAACTCTTCTTTTCTACGCTGTTAAGTCGGAGAACCCTTCTACCTCCAACTTCATTTTGCCGCCAGATTATTATGTTTAGTAACTGAGAGGCTCGGCTGTTGGGAACCCTGTGAATGTTAGGACAATTTCAGGCCACAATTTTTTCCAACATGATGGGACTACAGTTCTGCGACAGTTCATTTAGCCCAGCTTTCAGCGATGAAGTTTATACACTGTGCAATATCAAATTTCTTCCACATTTCTCTGGGTGTCCTCAGCATCCTTATCAAGCACTCCTGAATCATGTGAAAGTCTTCTCTGCATATTTAGCCTTAAAACACGACAATGACTCCCTGGTCCATTGGCTGGATGATGGAGGTGGTGTTTTGTGAAAACCACCTCAATGTTAGGGAATTATGGGCAGTCTTGAGTTCTTCAGAGTAAGCCAGGGCAATTATCTGAATGTAATACCACTTTTGAACTCCTTCAAGTTCATCAGATAATCTCACCTCTCTAGCAAAAGCAGTTTTTCAGCCAATCCACGCGCAAATCAGATGTCATCACGCTTTCTTGTTGTTCATATGAAAACTGGTAGCAAGTTCATGTTTTTGTTTTGAGCCGGTGGAAGTGGCAGTGTATAACAACATAGGCTTAATCATATGCCCTGCCGCATTCCCTTAGCATCACTGTCCTCGGTCCTTCTCAACTTTAAATCCGGGGCACTTTTTTTCTCTTTGAGATGTAGGTTCGTGGCATCTTCTAGCTACCATAGGCCTGACTCATCAGCATTAAAAACTTGTTCGACCTATAACCCTTTTTGTTCTATGTGGTTAGCAAACTCCTGCAGGGTATGCTTCCCCTGCCACAGTGTCTTCTTTGGTATGCTTGTGATCACTTTTATATTATGCAGCCCATAACGATGTCTGAATTTCTCGAACCATCCTTTTGCTGGCTGCAAATTTTTCAAGTGTCACCATCACCCTGGTTATCACCATCACCCTGATTATCACCATCACCTGATCATCACCATCACCGCATCACCAACACCATGATCATCACCTTTAGAAACTTATCATAAAGTTCATAGCTTTCTGCCTAATAAATTTCGAGTCAAGTGTGGTATGCGTGGCGGTTTAGGTCCTCTATCAAATGTTCGATGCTTTTTCCATTTTAATGAGGGCATCATCACGCACATATTTGTCACTGATGTGTCACTGGTGCACTTGAAGCTAAGCGTGCTTCAACGCAGATCCTTTTTGCGTCGTTTAATTCCACGCACACTGGTCGTTGAGCCCAAAGTGGCGGCCAACAGCTAAGTAGCTCATACAGCTGTCGAGTTATTTAACACTTCATTCTTCTCATTCAGCGTCAGCACTCGTGCTGCCCTCTTAGGTGTAGATCCAGAGGGGGAGCAGCAGGTCGTTTGGGAGGCATGGTGATATAAGTTGATGTGATGAACCACCAACAAAGTTGAAAATCAAGACTATTGCTTACGGCAACGATGTCTGTATGTTCAGGAAGACGCCGGGTGGCCTTCAATCGCACTAGTGCCGCCTAGCGGCGAAAGTACAAACAAGGCCCGCAGAGTTCAAATAAAGCCAAAATAAAAATCCGTCTAAATAATCCGTCGATAATCAAAACCGTCGATAAAAAATCCGTCGATAAAGAGGGAGTACTGTACTGTACTAATGCATTCAAGATTGTAAGAGTGAACCTCGAATAAAGCCACACAAAGTAATAAAAATAGCAAGATACATTATGTAAGAGTTAAAAAATTTCGCTTTTAAAATGTTACAGACTTGACTTGACAGAATATAACTTGCACTGCTGGAACTTTGGCATGTTAGCGATTGATTTGAGGATAAACATCCCATAATTTGCACTAAACATAAATTTTTTAGACCTTTAGCTTAGTACATTTGAGTACAAAGTGAGTACAGTACTGTACAATACAGTATGTTGTTCAAAATTATAGCTTTTTAGTAATTAACTTATTACATTTGAGTACATTTAGAGGGACTTTAAGTTTTTCACTTATAAAATGTCACTGAATTGACTTGACAGAATATAACTTACATAGCTAGAATTCTTGTAAGATAGTGATTAATTTGAGTACAAACATCCGATAGTTTGCTCTCGACATAAAAATTTTAGTAATAAACTTAGTACATTTGAGTACATGTTTGCCCTTAGGACAATTATTTCTTTTAATTTTTTTACAATGTGTATTTAGGATGGTGCGTGTATGTAAACGAGTAAAAATAAATGAAGAAAGTTATGTATATCTGCCCAAAAATAAAAGTTGAAAAATCCATAACACCTCACAGCTTGGCCCAGTAGCCTGGTGGTTACAGTGATGAGTCTAACCTGGCTATAAATCTATTATTAATCACTATTAAGCACTATTATATCAGTAAACACTAATAATAACAGTAAACCCAGTGAAATATGGCAGGGAGGGAGGGAGAGAGGGAGGGGAGTTACAAGAGCAGACAACGCTCAACTGGGGGTCACTCACTCCCCTTACTGCTCCTGTTACCAGGTGTACGTATGGGACAAATACATATCTTGTTGTCTAATTTGAAAATGGTGACGAGCTCAGTGATAAATACATTATATAAACAGTGCAGTTACCTGTGATAACATAATAAGAAACATTGTATCATTACTAGAGTGAATTAATATTCCCACAAACAACAATTGACAACTGTGCTTATGTACCTTTATGTTTACGGTAATTGTTCTAATCTTCAGTATTTTGATGTGATGCAATTATTTTGTCACAGAGCTCAGTACAGGAACACATCCTCCCCTTATTACATTAATTTATATGGGAAAAATGGTTTCGATGACGATAATCCACCGAACAAAAGCATTTTAGTGGAACTCAACCCTTTCATTCAATGGAGACTTACTGTACCTGTATCTACATATATTGTACCTGTACTCACACGTATGATTATTACCTAACTCGAGTGATTATCTTATGCACAGTTACGTCTTTTTGGTACAGTACCTCAAATATCCGACTTATCGGCTTTTCTGACCCATCCCTCCCCCATGTAGGTCGGTAAAACAAAGGTTTACTGTATTATGTAAATACACAGACATATGTAACAGGGTTTACTCCCGTAGCCTTATACCTACCAAGGTTAATCTGCAAGGCAGTGGGGCAGTGGTTGGTAGGCACCAGGGTGTGTCCACATGCCAGTGGGCGTAAGCGCTGTCCCTCTGGGGCCCACTGTGGCTCCGACATCCCATTTTGGTCTAGCCTGGGGATCACGAGGCACCTAGTTACCGTGTGTTGCCACGAGGAGGCACAGCAGGAGTCTTGATGGTGAAGAGGCTGTGTACTGGCAGGGGAAGACTTACTCAAGGATGTTTCCTAGTTCGTCATGAGGGCTAGCCAGCGGCGGTAGCTGAAAGCAAAGCAAGCAGTGCTTGCGCGTTAACACTAACATATTGCTGTCGCACTAGATGCACTACACCACCCTGTGTGAGAGACACACACACACCCACACCGGCTCCTACTACCACGCGAGATCCATCATCTGCGAATTGCTGTTCGACACCACAACTGCATCCAGCCCATATGAGCGCATACCGATCGCTATAAGAACAGCCCAATTCCAGCCATTGTAAAAATTATCAACAACTTGTAATCAACCTGTGTATTCACTCCCAGCCAATCTAACCTTTTGGCACTGTGTCTTTGTTGAAATGCCCACCTAGTTATTACATACCATATTTCTATAACTTATGTTACCTATACAGTATATTATTTGTCAATCAAGAGACCCATTCCCCAATTATGTAACTGTATATTTTCAGCCTTCCGGCTGTCATGCTCTTTCAATAAACCGTTAATTGTTATTATTATTATTACACACACACACACACACACACACACCACAAAAAAAAATTTCCTGGAATAATTATCTTCGTGTTTATTCCATTCACTGGGACAATCTCTGATATATCTCCTGCCTGAAGCCTCAGTCATCACCACCACCAGTGTACTGAGAGCAGACAGAAAGTGTTGGCACCGATGCTCATGTTGGAAATTTTCTCATTACTTCAAAGTCAAAATGTCTGTCGAGGATTCTACCTCTTTTTACATGCCAGAACCATATTACTGTACTATATTATATAAGAAAAAATTACCACAGTTTTCTCTCTCAGATAAACACATTTTGTTTAATGAAACAAAGGACTAAGGATATATCTTGTTTATTTGGCAATAAAAGTTTGGTCATAACCATCCCCATAAAAAATACTAAACCGGCCCCCAGCAGATAGTGCGTGAGACTGATAACTAACTAAGTAAAGATATAAGAGCGTCGAAGAACTTGCTGCGATCATCCACACTCAGCCGGATAACTGTGGAGGTAAATTCTTATTAGTAAGGGGCAACATCTTAATGTTTTACTAATAAAAATTTGCCTGTGTGGACACACACACACACCCGCACACACACACCACATCCTTGACCACCGTAGGGTCAAGACCTATTCAGGCGCTGCTCCCTCTACGCAGCTGCCCCCTTGGCCAATGTCGGCCCATTCCCCAAGTCCCTCCCCCCGACCCATCCTCACCACTGGGATATCAACATACAGTAATCAAAAGTGACAATTTCGTTTTGGAAAGAAGTGGGATCAGTGTTGAACAGTGATGAACAGTGTTTAAGCCAGTGAATTCAGCACTAGACAGTACCAGTGAGAGCCGCGACCCACCAGTGAGAAAAGCACCCCTGGGAATTAACGACCATCTTCTGACCAGGAGGTGCTAATCCATCCACCCTGGGAACAACAGAAGGCCGGCCGGCTATGCACCTGACTACGGGATAACACAACATCACCGTGAGGTCCTTCATATCAACACCCGAGGACGAGTCACTGTACCACGTGAACACCACTCCACCCGGTGTCTCCATGACCACGTGAGGTCCCTAATATCAACCCCCCCTAGGACGAGTTACTACACCACGTTTATAACTTAATTGGAACAGCTTTTACATACTCTGGTATCAAAATTTTTTAATTTTTTTTCACAATAGAATCGAGTCCCATCATTATATCGTGTCAAAATATTTAGTTTAAGAATCTTTTATTGGAAAAGCCTTGTAGAGAATTTATTCAGGAACATTGTTACCATATTTATCTCTCTTGAGACAATTAGAACAGATGCTGTGAATAAAAGTTTATACTTTTTCTCTAGCCATTAATATTTTCTCTCGTGCCCGCGGTCTAAATGTAATGGGAGAGTGTTTGTCCGTCCAAGACGAGATGATGAGATGTGTAGTTAAAAGAGTTGAGATGAGATGCAGACTTCAGACTCTTGGAAAACTTTCCCCAGTACCCAGAAACATTCCAGAGTCTGTCCGAGTAAGATGCGTAATTTAGACTCTCGGAAACTTTTCCCAGTAACTGGAAAAAATTCCGGGGATGATGAATTTTTCCGGGTCCGAGAAAGTCGTCTGGATACCCAGAAATCTCTCATCCCAGGAAGGACTCTGCACCAATTGATCCAGCTAATAGGGATACCACTTGTAGTGGGGCCCCACAGTGTGGTACAGTACAGTAGTCACTATTTAAGAACGATAATTTGCAGTTTTGGTCTAATGTTCCTGTTTAAATTTCCACATTTGTTCCTCTTCTCAATATAGTAAATGTGATGTGTACTGATAGAACAAGTGAATGTGGAAATGCATATGGTGGCATATCCCTATGACTGTAATTCTTCTACCTTAAGTGTGAAAAACCATGATGCAGGAGAACCCAGTGTGAACACCAGTTAAGACTGGTGGAGAAGCTGTTTTGGCAGTACAGTATTTTGTCGATTTAGCGAACTAATTCGAGCCACCCCTGTTCGTTAAACTGAAATTTCCGCTAAATTTCCACCGTGTTCGCTCGGTTTACCGAACCGTTTCAATAAATTTAACATAGCGCTTTCTTGGATAGGGGATTAGTGGGTCTCATGACCTGAAGTTGTCTTGAATAAAGATGAAAGCTACAAAATTATGGGGAAGACCTGACCTGACCTGATGCAGTGTCAGGTTATTCATGTCACCTCTAGGAACTAAATTCAGATTATAAGTTTGTTTTTTATTGTGGGTTTGATTATTATAATTTTTGTGTTACATTACGACTTCTGTTAATGGAAATTACAGCTTAAACAATTTAATACTTACTATTTGTGTCAAAGAATTCTAATTCTGCTTTTGACCCAGTCTTGTTGGCTGCTTGTTCAAAAGCTTTACCAAAGAAACTGTGAAGAATAAGAACAGAGAACATTAGCATATATTAGGCTGTAGTTATTACTGAGAGAGAGAGAGAGAGAGAGAGAGAGAGAGAGAGAGAGAGAGAGAGGTCATAACTAGGGTCTGGAGGTTTTCAGTGTGGTTAGAGAGCTCTCTCTCTCTCTCTCGCTCTCTGTATGTATGTGGTATGTGTGTGTGTGTGTGTGTGTGTGAGTACGTGTGTGTGAGTACGTGTGTGTGCGCGTATGTATGTGTGTATGTGTAACAGCCTTGTATTACAGTACCGAATTATATTTGAATATTTGAGATAACTGAGGAGGGGTTCAGTATACAGTACAGTAGGGGGCAGGGAAAAAACACTTTTATTTGAGTTGCAGGCTGCACTTTTCAGGCATCGTTTGTATGGCTGTAACAAACACCTGTGCAAAATTTCATGCCATTTCATGCATACTTACCCTGCCGCATCGCGAACGACTTTTTGTCAACTTTTAGTGTATACCAAAAATTAGGTGTCATTTAATGTTTTCCAGGATAATGATAAATTTTACATGGGTGACATCGATTTAATTCACATGTTATTTTACAGGTACACCGTATAGAAAATCATTACAAGTTCATATTGAAATTCTTTTTTGTGCGGAACCTTGGCATCATTTTCCTAGACAATAATCTTTGCCTAATATATCCATCTCTCGATTCGTATCCCGTCACTTCAGTGCAAGCTTCAGTCATCACTTTTATGCCTCTCTCGACCGCCTGAGTGCTGTTTGGCCACTTGGGCACCACTAATGGTGTCTCAAGAATGTCATTAACCTGTAGATTTGACAGAGAAGCAATGTAAGGAGGCTCAGTCTTGAGTTCATTCCTCCAGTTAATCATGGAATGATAGTTTTTTGCTTGCCACTTTAGTTTCGGAGTCACCACCTTTCTCATGTTGACTACAGGATGCACATCCTCATTCCCATCTCCATCTTTACCCTCCTCATCAGTATAGTTTAACAAATTCTCGTCAACAGCAGCATCAGAATCTTCCTCCTCCTCTTCAGATCTGCCAGTGCATTCTTCCTTTTGCTGATTCTCCTCTCTAATTTTTCTTATCATTGAGACAGCTTTTTCTCTAACAGTCATGTCCTCATCTGCACACATACCAAGAAGAAGTTGATCTGTGTGGGCGAAGTATGCATTTCTCTGGACAGCCTTCTTCACTATCGTCTCCTCCTCACTATTCAGGTGTTTCATATATAGCAGGGACTGGAATACGTTCCTTGAGCCGTGTGTTACGTAAGGGTGTATCTTGATGTAAAACCACATTGGAGCACTGAACTTTATTATTGTAATGACAATTCTTTTCAACTCATGGCTGGGTCTTGATGTTGCTACATACAGCCTGAGGATTCTACTCCATAAGGTGTTCCACCTTGACACACAGGGAGGACCTGGCTCAATAGCAGCCAAGTCATCTTCAACAACACCTGTGATAACTCCTTTACAAATCCTATACAGGTATTTCTGATCCCAGGACAGATCTTTCTCCACTTCATCATTAAACACAGGGAAATCAGGGAAACTGACTGGCTGGAAGGCGACAACTGGAAGCTCAGACAAAGACTCCTTGATCTGCTTTCCAATGGGACCACGCCAATGCTCAGGACCACTTGGTTTACCATCATAGTGATAAAAAACTGCGCGGAAAGGCAGCTCATTTCCGTGAAGCTGACATATGAAATAATGGAGCGGGTGACCAAGTAACATTTCAAGATGATGAATGACTCCATTTTCTGATCCTACATTTACATTGGTTCCATCACAACCAACACACACAATGGGCTGCTGGGTTAGATTTTTCTCCACCAGAAACTCGTGAATAGTTTTGGCAATCTGCTTTCCGTGTCCAGTCTTGGGAGTCACATGTGTGAGATATTCATTGCCAGGCTCAACCATGATGACATAATGATCTTTCACCATCATCCTCGAACTCCATTTCTCGGTCTTCTCATTCTTTATCATCACACGAGTGGCGGTCTTCTTACCATCAAAATAGTGACGTCAAATTATCTAAACTAGCCATCTCAATTTCTTGCCTCTTAAATCGGTATTTTTGTCTCGCATCCCGCAGCTTATGTGGTCCAATAACCTGACTCTTGTCATCCTTTGTGATAATGCCATAGTCAGTTAAGGTGGCAGTAGCAATGGCAGCTCCAGCATAATCACTAATCAAGTATCGGTCACAAGCGGCAGCCAGTGTAGGGAGTCTTGTCCGGTTCTGTGAACTGGTGTCTGTCAGAGCCCTTGGATCAGGGACAAAATCAGCATCAGTATTGACGAGAGGAATATCTCTTGAGATATGAAAAAAAAGTTGATAAACACTGAACAGAACATTGCACCGCCACAGCGGCTGTTTGGCTAGTACTGTAGGTAAATTTAAAAATTTCAGTAGAAAATGCGGCAGACTAAACCTCGACATATCAGCTTCAAATTTGGCATGGAGTCTTAGATATGTATAAGGAACAATGCCTGAAGAGTGCAGCTTTGAGCAAAATTTCACTGCCCCCTACAGTACAGTATAGCAAAATCATTCAGTGTAGAGGGGTAATACTGGGGAGCAGTTCAACATACTGTACTGTATAATGAATTTTGGTATACAGTATAGAGGTAATACTGTATACTGAGAGACCGAGCTGTGAAGGACTGGATTAATATTGTATGATTCAGAGGTGGGGGCAGGATAATGAAGAGGAGATCAAGATGGAAGGATTAGGTCAAGGATATACTGTGCTAAAAATGTGATATGTAAACAGCCAGGATGCAGCAGCGCGTGTCATTAAGTGAGCAGACCATCAAGTGACTTTTGGGAACCTTGTTGTAGAAGGGGAGTACCTCAGTAGGCCACAACTATTATAGCAGTTAAGAATTACAGCAAATGAAGGGATACCTGTGTACTAGTTCTTGATTCTTCTCACTCACCATTAAAGTTTGAAAAGCCTTAAAAAAAAAAAAGCGAAAAAGGATCTGAAGTTCGAGATGATAGGAGTTGTGGCTTACATATTGTAAATTATTAAATGGATGAGACAAACTAAAGTGACAAAGTAATAAAATGAACACAAACATGTTTAAAGATTAACTAAAACCAAGTTAAAATATATTATGAGATAAATGAAGATATTGTTCCAGGACAAATATGAACCTACCTAGATAATCAGATGAATTAGTCAACCAGTTTATTAACGAGGAAAATCCTCCCCAAAATATGACTTTAATTAGATTGCATTTAATACTCACTTTCTTGGAGACTCTTCAGAAGTTGGAGGAATACCACAAACAAGACAAGTGTTGGGTTCAGGTGATCTGACATCAGGTGTGGTTATGATGAGGGGTAGTGAGCGAGACTTCTTGCTACGGGAAACTGCAACATGAGCTCTCAGTGTGAAGCGAGCCAGGAGGGAGAGACAATGGGGTGCTGCGAAGAATCTTGCATCTGGGGTACCCTAGTAATGGTATCAAACAACATGACAATAACACATAACAAATAAAAAATTTAAAAGCAGGACAATATTGTACAGATTGCACTTTAAAAATCCAAGCATCACCTATCCAAAAACTTGTAAAAAATTTGTAAAAATTCTTAATTGCCTACACAGCCCTACACTTCCACAACTTTAATTATAGGTAAATAAATCAACTACTGTAGTGTAGGGTGATATGAGTTGGGATTGGACATGTTCCCATATTGAACAGAGTGACTAGTGTACAGAAAAATTGCACAGTGTGGCTACCCAGGCGATCGTGAGAGCCTGGTGTTGTCATACTCGCAACACTTTCTATACAACCACATGACAACAAGCTTAAAGTTAACTAAGCCGCAGTAAACAATGAGACACAAGATCACAGAAGACAACAGACAAAGACATCCAAAAAATTCAATGAGGTGGATGATACTGTTTTTCCCTCACAATTTCAGAAATTCTAGGTGTGAAGGATGGCCTATCTCTCTAGACCAGTGGTTCCAAAACTTTTTCTGATCATTACCCACTTTTCATATATGATCCTTATCCATGGCCCCCCTCTCCCAATCCATATCTCTGGCTGGCTCAGCTGCTGACTGGCTGTTCTAGTGTGGTGGGGCTTGGGATTTTTATGTGTACATAGCCTCAGCTTATGGCCCCCTAAATTTTGCTGGGGGGCCATGGCCCCCAGTTTGGGAACCACTGCTCTAGACAGTCCACATGACTTGAACAATGAATTGAATTTGAATTGAATTGAATGGGCCATACACTTGGGTCTTTTAAGTTCCATCCTCACATCTTTCATAAACTTGGGTCTTTGGGTGTTGAAGCCTGGAGAGGGTGTACTGGGAGTGTACCTTGGGGCCTTTCTGTCTCACCCCAGGGTTGAAAGATACATCTGTGGCTTTGTGGCCACAGATGTAGACCCATCCGATGATCCCACACCAGAGTTAACCCCTGGAGATGGCTCCCCAGACTGAGGAACCATAGAGGTGTCCCCTGTGAGGAGGATGGAGGGTGGAGAGAAGAGGGTGGAGGGAGTGAAGCGTCACTTTCAGTACAATGTAACTATTTATTCTCGGGACAAATTATATAATGTATTTTTTTCTGTTATTGAAGATGTTATATTAAATATGACAACTAAAACACCATAAGAGCCTGACCATATGCGACTATAATGTAAATGAATCTAGAATAAGATGGCATTTGGAGCAGGAGCAGATGAGGGGTCAGGGCAGTGAATACCTTCTAAGGGCAGTGAATACCTTCTAACACAACTTATATTTTTATTTTCACATTATATTACAAATTATATAATGCCTTTTCATATTATTAAAGATGCTATATTATGAAGAATCAAACAAGATGCCGGCCATATGAGAATAGAACAATGAACCAATAAAAAAATCTGGTGAGCACGGCAACATTTCCTCCTCTGTTTACATGTGTAGTATCTTACCTCCCGTACTTAGCAGCCCCTGTTAGGCCTACAGTATCTTACCTCCCGTACTTAGCAGTCCTCATTAGGCCTACAGTACCTTACCTCCCGTACTTAGCAGCCCGTTAGGCCTACAGTATCTTACCTCCCGTACTTAGCAGTCCTCGTTAGGCCTACAGTACCTTACCTCCCGTACTTAGCAGTCCTCGTTAGGCCTACAGTACCTTACCTCCCGTACTTAGCAGCCCTCGTTAGGCCTACAGTATCTTACCTCTCGTACTTAGCAGTCCTCGTTAGGCCTACAGTACCTTACCTCTCGTACTTAGCAGCCCGTTAGGCCTAAAGTATCTTGCCTCTCGTACTTAGCAGCCCCTGTTAGGCCTACAGTATCTTACCTCTTGTACTTAGCAGCCCTCGTTAGGCCTACAGTATCTTACCTCTCGTACTTAGCAGCCCTCGTCAGGCCTACAGTATCTTACCTCTCGTCCTTAGCAGCCCCTGTTAGGCCTACAGTATCTTACCTCTCGTACTTAGCAGTCCTCGTCAGGCCTACAGCAAATCTGATTAGATCACTGTACAGTATTCACTAAGCAAATGTTGCCCTTTTCATTGTATTTTATTTCTTCAATTTGACCCATTTCTTAAAAACCTTCAAGTATTTCTGTTAAACACAATACACACTAATATGATATACTGTACAGTACTGTATATGAAAGCAGGACTCAGACTGAGGCACCGCTTGTGACAGTCACACATAAATGTTCTAACGCACATACAAACACACACACTGTCCAGACTGATGCCGGGTTTTCTGGACGTTTTTAAATATCTCTGGTGAATCAAGGGGTGGTCAGGAGTACCCCATGGTCAAGAGCACCTCACAGAGTCCGAAAAAATCGAATTCCGAAATAGAGAAGTCCAGTGTATAGAGGATCTACTGTGTATTAAAGACTATAAGAAGCCAGCACCATACACACATCCATTCACTGTGAGGGAAACAGTGAGGTTGGCTACTGTCTCATATCATCTGTGAGCACTGAACAAAATGTGAATGTTCTCAGAGAACTTTTCAGGAAGTGGATGGCTCCTGCAATCTTGAATGACAACAGAAATACCAAGAAATCACACAATTATTTTATAAGTGAGAGATCCAAGTACTAATCAGAAGAGTGTGAGCAGCACTTCTGCTCTTATTTCTAAAGCATGGCACAATAGATCTTTCAAGTGGATGTATCAAATAATATAAATCATGAGTCATTTGTGAACACTCATAATAAGATTAATAAAAACAAGAACCTCAATTCATTTACCTCAATAACAGTTGCATACAGGAATGGACCAGCTGATATAACTTGATTCATGTCTAGGAAGGTCTGCATTTGCCTATAAATGGCTTCTAATTGCTGTTTACTGCACTCTAAACCTTTCTCCATAACAACCAGCTTAGATCTGTATACAAAGGAATAACAAACATTATTATACTTTATAACAACCAGTGTGGATCTGTATACAGCACCACCCACACATCCCAACATCCAGAGTTTAAATTCCTTGCCTGAGGTGCAGTGGGAGGGAGGGAGGGAAGCCTTGATCTCCAGTAATTTATTTACCTGTATTCATTATTATATTTGTGCACGATCAGCCTCTCATGGTGTGTGTTTTATCATTGATAATATAAATATTAAATACTATATAAATATACAATATATAATGAGTAATTAGACATCAAAATTAAATGACAAGCTGATTTAGAAGGTACTCTGCATAGGAAAGGGGTGGCGGATTGGCCTGGTCTTTGCCAAGTTCCTACTTATTTTTTATTCATTACAGGAGTCATACATCATAAAAATAAATATTGTACTGTACATGAAAGGTAACTGGTGTCTGTATTTTATGGCATATAAGAAGCACCGCTGTAAAAGATGCACCCACGATTTCAGCTGGGAGTATTTAGGAAAAAAATTTTGTGTGTACTATTCTCATGTAGCCACAGTGTTCTGAAAACAATATACTGTATACGTTACCAGTAAATGTGAGGAATAAAATACCAATAAATAAGTTTCAACAAAAAATACTGTATTGCCAAACCAGTAAATAAAAGCCAAATGAAAGTTTAACATGAACACCATTTATATACACTCCCTGTTTCGCCATAGCAACGCAGACCAGCAGGGATGTTACCTCCGCCGATTCCTCAGCAATGCCCCCCTCCCCCATACTCTGCACCCTCCTCCCACTCCACCACCAAGGCATTGAAATAAAGGACAATCGCCCATATAGGGGACGTCTGACAGCCTTACCATATTAACGATTTGAACTGGTGATGGCGTTAATCTTATCAAATAAAATGACTGGCCAAGGCTCAAAGTGAACACCCTAACCATAAGACAGTGTGTTCAGGTTGGGAGAACTAATGTGTTATACAGGCAGGGTTGTTCACCACCTGAAACAATACTTACATAGTGAGACCATCTGTGACGTCCAAAAAGGCATCAGTCGGTGTCTTTTCTTTATCCGTAGTTTCCAAAAGAGCCAATGTGGCATACACATAATCCATGGCGCTGAACTTGCTCCGAAATCCTTGAGAAGTGGAAAAAGAAGCAAAAAGCAGGTTGTCCAGGCCATATTTTTCTGCTTTAGACTCTAGTAAAGATTGGAGCTCGTTACGTAGGGAAATGTCCATGCCACAATATTTTTGCCTACACTGTACAAGAGGCAGTCTGTGGAGAAACAAAAAATAAATAAAAATATACAAATGTTTTATGAAATTAAATGAATATTCTTTTTTTTTCACTTTTGCAAGCCCCTTCCTGTTATAGGAGAGTGGTCACTTTCCTGCTATGGGAGAGAGTGATCATTTTCCTGCTATGGGAGAGAGTAGTCACTTCCTACTATGGGGGTGTGGTCACTTTCCTGCTATGGGGGAGGGAGTGAGCAGAAAGCAACATTCTCCTCTCGTTAGGCATCATACTATATGAACTGTATATATCTTAGATAAAAAATAATGTTATCAGCAGCTCCTCTCCATATATGTAATGGTATAATGACCCCTTAGAATGCTGCTCCATATAGCACTTTCCACGAACGTATCCAGAGTGCTAAGGGTGGTATTACTGCACATCAATAAAGCTCTATACCCGCACGTGAAGCATTAAAACCAATGGACGGGCAAGAGAGAGAATTGGACTCAAGTTTCTGTGGCAAAATTTCTATAAGATTGCCAAATGACTGAACATGGCATTGTGGTGCTATAACCCACATAGGACCTTAGCCATAAGGGATGACTAACAACACTTCTAAACAGCTACATTTAATAGGGAATGGTAATATTCAGTGTTTAATTAATACCAGCCATCAGTGTGGGATGAACTTGGAGTGTAAACCAAACACACAATGGATACAATACAATACACTAGTTATACAAAATAATACCACTTAGGATATATAATATTCTTACCCCATTTCAGCCAACAGTTCATATAGTCTCTTTTCCCCCTTGAGTGTCCATAGTCTGAGGGTGGTGGTTGAGTAGAGAGAGTGACGCATACTCTCCACCAAACTCCAGTGGCGGTATAGTGCAAGTTGCAATCTATTCTGAATTAAGGAAAAGTTACATCTCTGGAAAACATTAATACTCTTTTGAAAATATAAGAATTAAGTCACCATCGATTGACAAAAATATATATATATATACAGCATAGGGTAGTGAGAATAAATTTCAAATTACTTCAAAGATCACAAAATCATACAAAATATGGCACACATCACCTTTAACATACAACATATGGCACACACCACCTTTAACATACAACATATGGCACACACCACCTTTAACATACAACATATGGCACACACCACCTTTAACATACAACATATGGCACACACCACCTTTAACATACAACATATGACACACATCACCTTTAACATACAACATATGACACACATCACCTTTAACATACAACATATGACACACATCACCTTTAACATACTATCCATTTGGGCAGTGGTTCACTTCTTGTACTCTCACCAATTCTCCAGCCACTGAAGACATACAGGCACTTGAGTGTTGGTTCATGAGCCTCTGCATATAAGCTGTCCGCTTGAGTGGTACAGAAAGCTCCTAAACTAATTCTAAGACTTAAATAATACTGTACACTTAACCCAAAGTTGATGATGGGATTCTGGTGCAGCCCTATATAGTAATATCTCCTATTTTCTCCCACTCCTACCACTTCTTGTGTGACTGTGGTGTCCTTGGCAGACAACAGTGATGAGGTGAACAGCCCCCCTCATTTCAGAGTAAGGTCCTTCCTCAGCTCACCCCTGTTCATACCCCCAGACTGCTCCCCCAATGTACAGATGTCAAACAGTATTTTAATGATTTTCCTCATCAGTTTGGTAGTAAATTAGAGTAGTTGTGAACTATTTATCGTTAGTTACATAGGTTTTGTTGTCGTATTTTTATCATTGGGGAACCGAACCCTATTTTTCCCATGTTTATCTATTCATGATACGTAAATTCACCCAGCGAATATTTTTTTGGAGGGGGAACCTAATCCATTCTTATCTTGAGGGATACCTGTACATTATCGAGTCTTAATTGGCTTATTAGCATTAACTGGTACACGATGAGAATTAATTCCACACTATGATAGGGGACCCACTTGAATATTTTACACCGGGGACCACAATCACATCACTCCAAGGTGTGTCTCATGTCGTCCCTTAACCATGTCACATCTCCATCACATCACTCCAAGGTGTGTCTCATGTCTTCCCTTAACCATGTCACATCTCCATCACATCACTCCAAGGTGTGTGTCATGTCTTCCCTTAACCATGTCACATCTCCATCACATCACTCCAAGGTGTGTGTCATGTCTTCCCTTAACCATGTCACATCTCCATCACATCAAAGCCACTCAGTCACATCTTGGCCATCATGGGACAATGTTATCACCAGGTGACCCAGGACCATAACCTAACCTAAAACCTTTAAAACCGTATTGCACTTCCAGTTCACCCAGCTGTAAATGGGTACCTAAATTTACAACTTGGGGGAAGTGAAAGCAGTTGAGAGCAGTACTGGCCATGCTGCCTCCTTGTGTACAGAAGGCTTACTTTACAGTGTGCAGTTTCCACACTGTCCCTAAAGGGTAGTTATGCCTTTGGGAATCACTTTCACTTTTTTTTTTTTTACAGAAGAATGAAATAAATTCAAATATTTCAAAAGCAAGTTAACGAATTCCCTTCGGTTGAGTGTTGAAGTGAGTGTATGGACAGCCCAGACAAGGGCCTCGGGTTGCAGTACAGAAGAAGGGAACACTGACAGCATATTCTGCATGTTCTCAGTGTACATCTTTAATTTAATAAGAATATAACACGTCTTACGCCATTTTTATTTTGCCCGAGTTTTTGTACATACACCGGTACCGTTAAAGTGATGGTTCAAAGTTGGGGTGTGACTTAGAATAAAGGCCAAACTTTTATTGTATAAAACTGGGGATGGCTTATAATTGAGCAAAATATAGCACTGTACTGCATCTAACTTTTACCTATTATGTCTACTATCGTGCTTTGAAGGCTGGCACACCGTATAAACCAAATAATACACCAACTGATCGAAAAATGGAATATAGGTGATTTTTAAAGAGTTGTATGCCACGTGTATCATCCATACACCAGCACGAGTATTTTAGGTGATGTAATATATGACACCTGAACTCCGGTGTAGAGAAGGTAGAGGACTAAAACACAGTAGATGATAACAATCTGCTTGAGGAACATATTCACAATGAAACAAACAATACAAAGTACAAGAATAACCCAACCAACCAGCAAACATCCTACTGCTGTGTCGAGCTAAATATCTCCTACGGTCATGGGGACCTGTTGGGGGTAGAACTATGTACAAAATAAAAAATGTAGATCCTCAAAAAACAGGTCTTAGTGTACCTGTGGTTGGAGAAGGATTACTGTACATACAATAAACTAATAGCCAAAAGGATTACTGTACATACAATAAACTAATAGCCAAAAGGATTACTGTACATACAATAAACTAATAGCCAAAAGGATTACTGTACATACAATAGAACTAATAGCCAAAAGGATTACTGTACATACAATAGAACTAATAGCCAATAGATCTCTGGTCTTGCATGATCCTTACGAACACCACAGACATTAGCATTTTCGAGAAAAAAAGATCTCTTTTTTCAAAAGCGTGATCCTGGGGCAGTCTTGTGGTTATAAGTCTTGAACTGTGGTTCAGGCGCGATATGTTCTGGGCGTTACCGTAACCAACACATACTTGTCCTTATATTCTCTCCGACATCAATTGCTCAGTCTCTACCTATAATTGCCCACTAAAACACACACCCTAAAAAAATTAATAAATACACAGGATTCTTTAATATATCCCATTTGTGTATATTGGTTTAAAATAAGTTTCTGGCAAATACTCATCACTATATCACCCTCCATGCAAAAAATAGTTATCCCTTAAGGTCAGGTCAGGTAAGGTGAGGTGAGGTGAGGTCAAGAACAAGGGGTTATGCCTAGTCCTAGTGGCACTGCGGTAGCTGCAGTGTGCTTCATAAGCCAAACTCATCCTGGCATCAGTACACATTGATGACTGCCACAACATCAGTACACATTGATGACTGCCACACATCAGTACACATTGATGACTGCCACACATCAGTACACATTGATGACTGCCACACATCAGTACACATTGATGACTGCCACACATCAGTACACATTGATGACTGCCACACATCAGTACACATTGATGACTGCCACAACATCAGTACACATTGATGACTACCAGTTCTCCCCTCAACATAATTTAGTGAGATACAGAACAAACTCACGAAATCCAAATTAATTAACAGAGAAAAAAGAAAATGATAATAATACCATATAACAGAATGGAGCATATCAATGTTATACAGTATTAGTGAACTTATTCTTTAAGGAGTTAGTAAGTTAATGCTTTTTACATCTTTATGATTGCAGTACAGTACAGTTTAGTCATATCAAAACACCTCATACAGTGTAATTGTAGAGAAAAAAATATGAGGCATCTTTCTGTGAGGCTTTTAGGTGAAGTAAACCTCGACTTGATTCGAAGATTCCTTGGCTTTTATCACTGACTTCCTCGACTCTCGCAAAGTAGCCACTAAGAATATTTGTACAGCTGCTCTGAAACTGTCAGCCCACCTTCAGGATGTGAGGAGGCTGGGACAACAGCAGGAGGACAAGCCACACCTCCTCAGGATCACATTAGGATAAGAAATGGGAAGTCATTCAACAGACAAAAAAACTTAGCAAGGAGCGATACATTTTGGGGTATACAGTTCCTCCCCAACTTATGACCGCCTCAGTCGTACCAAAATTTTGTCAAATTACGTATTTTCGAGTCCCAACGTTAGTGATTGCGCTGTGTACTGACAAAATTTTCGTTTGTAATTCACTTTAAAATGACTGGCAAGCTTAAAAGTGAGAGTTTTGTGGTGCTGAGAAGAAAAAGAGACCCATTTTAGATTTTCTATGCATTATTTAAGCATTTTCGACTTACGACCATTTCGACTAACGACCTGGATTTGGTTCCCTAACCCCGTCGTAAGTTGGGGAGGAGCTGTATTCATAAACCCAGATCGTACTGTAATGCAAAGGGAACACCAGGCTGACTGTGACCGCACCATGTCAACAAAGACCGAGGAACAGCCCCCCTACCCCGATCCTGAGTTGAGTGCAGCCCTCTATCTGACCTCTTTAGTACAAACCCTTCGACCTGATTAACCTCTTTAGTACAAACCCTTCGACCTGATTAACCTCTTTAGTACAAACCCTTCGACCTCATTAACCTCTTTAGTACAAACCCTTCGACCTCATTAACCTCTTTAGTACAAACCCTTCGACCTCATTAAAACAATAACATGCAATTTCACCATAATTCCCATATTACTTAGGTTCACTTGGTACCAGGTTAATAAGATCTACCGTTTAGTAATAAATTTTCATAAAAAAAATAAAATCCCACACTCAAACCCCATATGATTTATTGTATGGTATTAAATTCCTGGTTCTTTGTTGAAAGGTTGCAGTCACAGCCAAACCATCCCTTCAATTTGGTTTATTGGCGCGCTAACTCCACGACCGAGCTGCCTTCCACAAACAATTCACAATTTTTTGTTCCTATTTATAGTATTTTCTTTATCTATAAATCACTTAAGATCACTGAAGTCATCTTTATAATCTTTTCTACATCAAATTAGAACAATGAGACGTAAACACTGCAGCAGCCGGCGCTCAATCACGAATTATGAATATTTGACGGGAAAATTTTAAATAGAGGTACAGTAGTAATTTAAGAACGGGAACCTGTATTTACGGAATTATCTCAACTCAATTGTATAACAACACAACCATCATCCAATACTGAGCCAGAACTGATAAAACGCCAATATTTATACTGTACTAAGAATGGCATTTATTATCTATCAAAAACCCATCAAAAAGCAATATGATGAGCAGCAGCAAGATAATTATGGCAACTTTAACTACCGAACTATTACTTTTGCTCGTTATATTGACAACTACTGCACCAACAGATACTACACCTCAAAAGGCTCTCAGTGTAACGGAATAAAACCCACAACTGACAGCGCATACAGTATTAGCTTGAGAGACATCCTGCAGCTGAACCTTTGCATCACACGACAATTACAGATTCCACTGTTGGATGTCTGGTTAGAAGCGATCACATAGGCCACTTAACCAGAACCACGGGCACAAAAGACTCCCCTTGATACTCTTAAACTCAAGGACCCAAAACATTAATAACTTACCATAATAGTTCATTAGAGTCTTTTGATAACTTCCATGCCAGATCAAACAACAACGCTGCCGTCTGAAAGAAACAAAACAGCGTAAGTTGACACAATTATCACACAAAGGAGTCCTCACACCATCATAATTCTGTGACATATTTCAACTGGATCCTCCAAAAATTATAATTCTTATGAAAAAATAATGAGGAAAACATCTACTGTACTTGACTGGATCAGGGACTGGGTACTTAAGACCTGAACATTAAACATTACTGTACTTGACTGGATCAGGGACTGGGTACTTAAGACCTGAACATTAAACATCTACTGTACTTGACTGGGTACTTAAGACCTGAACATTAAACATCTACTGTACTTGACTGGATCAGGGACTGGGTACTTAAGACCTGAACATTAAACATTACTGAATTGACTGGACCAGGGACTGGGTACTTAAGACCTGAACATTAAACATCTACTGTACTTGACTGGATTAGGGACTGGGTACTTAAGACCTAAACATTAAATTATTACTAACTGGATATACATGCAGTACTTTATAGCATTGTATCTACAGTGTTCCCTTCAAGTACAGAATAAACATGGTAGTTTAGTGAAAAATTTTACCCAAGACTTTTGCATTATAGAGCCATTATAGTAAACATCAATACTGTTTAGGCATTCTTGATTCATGAAAGAGGTGAGGAGTGTGTAGAGGACAATAGTGTACTAGTAAACAAGAGACCAGGAGTATATTATGGCTCAATAATTCATTTTGGGTTGAGTGTAAGATTTTTTTGGGGGGGAAATTTTTATTATTTTATGATGTCGTTTTATTAACCCGACATCAGAGGAATTTAAGAGTACTGTAATATGGAAATTACGGTGAATCTGCATACTGTCGCTGTAAACGGTTCAGTGGCTGACGAGTTGGCCAGCACTCCTACCCCGCCGTCTCCTCTCCTCGGCTATGCACCCAAACGTACTCTTTTTTCCCATTCCATTTCTTTACAAACAAACCCTCCATTATATAAAAACTGAAGGATTTTTCAACTTAAACTTTTTGTTGTTGGAACACTTATGTGATTTAAATGTCCGCAGTGAGGTGTGCAGCGAGTCACAAGGCAAACTAGCACACTGAGACAACTTCTCTGTAAAGTCTGTGGTTACTTACATATAACGATAGCATTAGCACTCAGTTGTGAGAGGCAACTGACATATTTTGGCATGGTAGAAATGTAACACCTGTTATTTCTTAAAACTATTTATTCAGATACACACAGACTTCGGAAGACTCGGACAAAATTTTGAGGTTCCGAGGGCTAAGAGTCTCCCTAAAAAACACTCCTAAAACAGAGCAAAGATCATCATAGGCCCATGGGGTGAGTGAGGGTCAGTGGACAGTAAGAAAAAGAAAACTACCCAAATTTAGATATTCCTTACTGAACTTCCATAATAGGAGAACTGTGTGTAGTCAAAGACAATTTTGTGTCGCTGCTGCTCCCACTGACGTCTTGCTCGCCGCTTCTCTAGGGCCTCCTCATCAAAGCGCGGCCGTTTACCCCCATCTTCGTCGCTCTCCTCCTCATCTTCACTCTACAGAAAGTCATTAACGTGTTTGTTTACTGCTGCCTCTGTGGTCATTATTACACACATAACCTACAGTAAAATACCTACAAAATAAGACCTCATTTATTAAAATACTATACTTGGTGATGCTTTGCATTTCTCAAAGGTCATAAAGTTTGACACTCGATATATCTTTTTAAAGAGTATGGGCTCGTCACTGTCTTAAACAAGGCCTCAATTATGGTTTGAAATAAAATTTGTTCTCTAGGTGTAACCAAATATTCTTACTGATGCAGGTCTCCCGAGGGGGTCCCTATTCCCTGTACAGATCCACACATCTAGTTCAACAAATAAAAGTATTCGGTTCAGATATTTAATCCTGGCAGCTGTCTTTACTAGAGTATCTGTTTCTTCACAAAAAGAGGAAACAAATTCCTTTATTAAAACTTGTCTTTCAAGAGACGATGAGCTACTCTACTAAATTTTCTCTTTACACAAAAGACCCATTACTACTGTACCAGGTACCTGTATTGAGTTCACAAGTATGACAATATGTGCACAAATAACATGGCTGTCTCGGCTTATTAGCCCATCTACTTCTAACAACAATGTCTGTTTCTTGGAGAACGTTTTCTATGTTTGTCTTTGATACCCCCAAAATGTTCTACACTACTGAGGATATACGCAAACACTCGTTATCTTGAAAATAGGTTCTTATTCTCGTATTCTCGTACGGTAGATGTACAGAGGAACTAATAGACAGTCGGCTTCCACACCATAAGGACTAGCGGTCTCAACTCTCTGTATCACTCCGCGCTGGCATGTACAGATGCCAGCATTCAGAAGCTGAATACATAAAATGTAAATATGATAATTCACATACATAACATGGTGCATAATAAATGGAAATATTACATAGGATTAATACGTGTTCTGTAATACTTTACTATACATAATTAATAGAGTAGTATAAGAATACACAGCTTAAGGTACTACTTCGTGTCCATATTATACACGTTTTGGGACTCTAGTTATGATTGGAGGAAGCCGTTTCACAGCTAATACTTTCCCAATAAGGATCTGATATCACAGACGAATGTTTACAGGCGTAAACATGAATCAGGCAGCGTTCAAAATCATTAAATATTATTTTAACATAAGTATACCACTTACTTCATTTTCACGAAACACATCATCAAAAGCTGGCACTTCCTCATCATCTCCAAGTTTTGTCAAGATCCGAATCTGTAAAAGAATACAAGTTGAAAGTAAACATAATGGCTTTCATTATAAAGGAGAGCCTCAAAATATCCTGATTCCTAATGTTACAGCTGCAGTGGTACGTACACACAAACACAGTGTCTTCTAAGTCGCATGGTTCCTCCGTAGCCTCAAAAGTTTCTCATCCAGACCAGCCTGCAATATACTGTATTTACTGGCCTATAAGATGCACTATTTTCCCCTAAAAGCTTATACAAAAAACACCATTTCCTCAAATATATCATGGAAGCCACACATCAACAACATTGCTAAAGCTGCCTCCCGAAAGCTGGGAATGTTGTACAGATGCCGTAGCTACTTCACTCCTGAGTAGTTGCTTCAAGTAAATAAGGGATTCAATCGTCCTAACTTGGAGTACTGCTCTGATATCTGGGGTGGCTCTTCTTCTGTCCAATTGTTAGATAGGGTTGAATCAAAGGCATTTCATCTTATTAACTCTCCACCTTCAGTTGATAATCTCTCTTCCCTTTCTCTTCGCCACAATGTTGCTTCACTCTCTCTTTTACAGGTACTTTAACGGGCAATGTTCGGTGGATTTGGCATCCTGTGTACCGCCAGCAAGACCGTGGGCTCATAACACTCTTCCTGCCCGCGGTGCCCACCGTTTCTGTGTGGATGTCGGTCACAATAGTATACAGTGGTCCCTCGGTTAACGAACGCCTCGGTTAACGAATTACCTTCCATAAAAATCTTCATTTCGGTTAACGAAATTCTTACGAAAATGTTTCGACATGCTTTGGCTTGCTCACCAGCTGGAAGATTAGTCCGCCAATACAGAAATCGGTTCTAGGGCTTACATTCGTTAAAATTGGAGTAAATATCAAGAAGGTTGTACTATTCAATAATTTTCCAAGTTTCATATTAAAATTTTTAGTCATTTTAACACTTATTTAACATAATTGCAGTACAGGGAACTAGTTTTTGGTGCACCCATCAGCCACTTCACTCACCCACCAAGGCCTCAGTTTGTATCTCTGTTCAGTGGAGGAAACATCTTGCTTGTGGGTCTCTTGAACACAGAGTATTATTATGTTTTTACAGTACAATTATTGGTCATTCTGAAATTTATTTAACATATTGACAATATATAGTGCCGTGCAGTGTTGATTTAAAGAAAATAATCTTGAATTACACCAAGTGAACTTAAAATTTTATGGGTGAAATGACGGCATCAAGCATGGGGTGACTTCTCTTTCACCCCCACTTCCTTCTCTTCTCCCTTCTCCTCTGCCCACACTTCTAATTCCCATCATCATCATCATCAACCAGTAGCCTTCTACATGCACACCTCACAGTAAGTGTACTTTACTGCATTTTTTTTTTACTTTGTATGTAATTTTCGGTGAGCTGGAACCAATTACCCAAAATCCCATTGAAACAATGGTTTCAGTTAACGAATGACCTTCTGGAACGAATTGTGTTCGTTAGCCGAGGAACCACTGTAACCCGTTATAGTACATCCTTCTTTCCTCACACAGCCAAACTGTGGAATGCTCTGCCTTCTGCATTTCCATACTCATACAATGTCTCACTTCAAAAAGATTCTTTTCCGGCATCTTCGTGGTGTAGATTGGTATAGTCTTTTTCTCTCTAATTTATATTTTATAATTTTTTATTTACTCAAACATTTTCACCCCCTAGGCCCTGTGGGTCGATGACCTGTACCCGGGTGGGCAATTTCCCTAAAAAAAAGGCTTATGCACCACGTGTCTTATACAGCTGTGTATCTTATACAGTCATGCATCGTATAGGCCATCAAATGCGGTACTTACACTGTAAAAGTTATTGCTACACTTTAACAAAATAGCATCAACAAGTTTATAGGTTTAACCCCAGTGTTCCCAGAAACCCTAAACTTGTCTCACTAACTTACACTATGAGCCATCAGTGTATGTGAGGGTTACATTCATGGAAAATTTCAACCATCATTGAATTTGCAAAAGTAGATCCAGAAAGGCTCCACCGAACAAGTCCAGGACCAATGAGAAGGCATATAGGGTGTCCCAGAAAAATGTCCCTGTCTCCCTCCAACTTAGTGTCTCAGGGAGCAGGCAGGGAGGGAGGCAGGGAGGGAGGGAGGCAAGGAGCAGGCAGGGAGGGAGGCAGGGAGGGAGGGAGGCAAGGAGCAGGCAGGGAGGGAAGAAGGGACATTCTTTCTGGGCCACCCTATATTTGGTATATATTTTATCCTTACCTGTTGCCCATTATAAATGTTACATATATCAAGGGGCCTATGGTTGTCGGCCACAAAGAAGGTGAGATCCTCTGGAGGCTGCAGGAAGTCCACCAGGTCAATACAGCCTCCACAGTTTATTAGCACTACATGTTTTACCTGAAAGAGGGAAACTTTCAATAATGTTATAAAGCTGTAAAATTTTATGTAATATACAAGTCATATAAAACTGAGAAAGTTTTATTTTTATACAGTGAACCCTCACTCAACGCTGGTTTGTCCAATGCGATTTTGACTATAAACGTATAAATACATGTGACCAAATAATTTGCCCAACATCCTACACCACCACCATCATTCTTCATACATAAGCAGAGTGTATTTATTATTCTTACTTAAATCTTTATTCACCGTGTTTATTTTAAATATTCTTATGACTAGAAAGAGGCCAGTCCGCCGCCCCTGTCGGAGTGGTTTCTCCGCGAACGAGTCGACCGGGAAGAATGCCGAGAAGATTAGAGCTGGTCTGCCTGTTTTTGAAAAGCTGCCACAATGAATGGGTTAAACGTACCTGTTCTGCATGTTGTTGGAAAGCGTTGAGGAGATCAGTCCGTGTCTGAATAGGAACAACCGTGTACAATATGTGATCGGTCCGGAAGAGCGCCTGTAGAATTTTACTTGCACATATGCCGTCGATGTCAAAATGCACAAGCAACAGGATACGCTGTTTAAAAGAGGAAAGGTTTACACTAACACAATTTCAATATTCATCAACAAAAATAAACGTACGAAAGAACTTAAGACATGAATGAAAACTGAGGCAGGTAATGACAGAAGGATGGATGGAACAAATGCCACTTTATTTCTTGACAAATAACCCTAAAGTTCTTGCGTCTGTACCACGATGAACAAATCTAGTTCATAAAATCCAAACACCACATCATCATTTGCTCCACCATGGATGAAGCCAGGAGTTATTGGCTAATAAAGTAACAGCACGTGAAAAGGCCGATGTTGCCCCGAGAACTAACTGTATATAAAGCCTTCAATACAAAGTGGTCGGCAGATGGGTGTAGCGAAGGTGCCCCGGGCGTGACCCTCCAACTCTTAGGGCAAGAAGCAAGTGATCCACCTGGCTGTAGCACCCCCAATACAGTCCACTAAGTATACTTGGTAAACTACCTCACTTCACTGCCTCACGTGGTAAACTGAAACTGTCGCCAATTATTACCTGGAACTGTAACTGGGAGGCTTTGTCCCCCAGACCCCCCCAATTCCTAACTTAATCAACCATAACCTAACCTAAACATTCAGAGGGGATGGGACAATGCCATCTACCTTTTACTTTTATCCTCTTCACCACCGATCAGCTCATTAGCCGCTTGGGCGATCGGTCACATCTCTGTTACCCACTGTTGGCAAGTACTGGGCATGCACCGGCTCCTGAATGTACCTGGACCTGCTCCAGTGTTGGTCAAGTCTGGCTCTGAAACAGCTCACACTCGGTACCATCACAGCAAACTCTCACTCAGAAAAAGTTTGCCCTCACAGTTCTCTGGACCTGCTGCTTCTTCCACCTTGAGCTGTGACCCTTTGTGGGGTAGACATTTGCCAGCTCCAGGTATGGACACTCGACAGAGTAGTGCCCTCTAAGATATTTATACACCTCGAGTAGGTCACCATCTGTAATATAAGCTAGGCAGTTGCAGGAAACCTAATCTCTCTGGATCGCTGAGGTGCCAAAGTGCAGGCACCAGTCTGGTGACCCTCCATTGAATATCTTCAATCAACTGACAGTCCCTAGCATATCTCAGGGACCAGACGGGGAAGTACCTCACTCTTGATAACAAAATGGACTTCCATAACAAAAATCATCTCTATGAAACATACAATATTTCCTATATTGATCAGATCATCCTGACTCTAAAAACATTAGTGGGGAATGTAACAACAGTCAAGGTCTAAATATTATCCGGTATATATTTAATTTCTTCATACACAAAGCACACACGGACATCATTTTAGTGTTACATGATCAGTTTTTCACCGTATTTCACCCTGCAATTTCCCTCATCTTTCATACCCTGACCACTATCATCCAAAGAAGATATGTGTAAAAAGTGAACAAAATTTAGCAATTCCTTTTGGTGTTAGCCATATGCTCCTGTATTGCCTTAATTTCCATCACAAATGAGCCGTTAAGGAGATAACCCCCCCCACACACACACACACATTAACCCACAATATCGGTTGTTCAAAGTGGGCAGGGCTTTAAAGTAGAGGGAAAATGTGGGGTAAAATACTAAAAAAAAAATCTTACCTAACCTTTCAAGAGCTTAGGGAATGTATGAGATCACTGCTACCACCAGAAGGAGTTGTTTGATTTTGTTAATTTCTTCCACAGATGTTCTTATCATTATACTAAGTATTTTAAATGAGGCAACAGCTTTATTTAAATTATAAGTACAGTATTTATTTATTTATTTATTTTTAGTTTTTCTGTATCTACAATCATAAATCACCTGTAGTGGGCAGGGCATGAAGTATGGGGGAAAACAACGCGGTAAAACACGGTGAAAACTGATCAATGATGTTCCTACGTGTTTTGTACATAAAGAAATTAATTACAGGGGGTCCTTGACTTATGAACGCCCGCTGATACGAACGAGGTTAAACTTGAAACTTACAGCATTTTATTTACCTGAGGACTTATTTTTTAGTTTCATTTACTGTATTTTGTCATTCTATTTCTTTTTTTGTCTTAAATTAAGTGATTCTAGATGTATATAAGGACTTAGGCTATGATGTACAGTGGGGTATGCCATAACGAATCTAATTGGTTCTAGAACCTCGTTCGTTATAGGATTAATCCGTTCCAGGCCCCCAAATACAACTACTTAACACTGAAAAATTTCCGTGGAAATTGTAAAAAATACGGTACTTTATCTTACCTTAGTGTTGTTAGCATGTAGGACAGGAGGCAGAGGGGGAGGGGGGAGGAGAGAATTATGGAGAAGAGGTGGAAGGAGAGGAGTCATCCTTCCTAGCCCTCTTTGGTGACTGTCTTACAGGCACTTTGTCTGTTTATTTATAATTTCTTTCTTAGTTTCAAGGGTTATTAGCTTTCTCACTCGCTTTTGACGATTCATTGTTACAATTGTACACTTGTATAACAAAATAGTTATAAAAATAACACGAATTTCCACATCAAAAGACGAAATTTCAACAAGTTCAGTGGTGCACTGACTACACAATGAACAAATATGGCGCCTGATGCTCTTGTTGTGAGCCGCGGCACAACAATATTCATGCGCCAGACGAAATAGTCCCGTATTCATCCGCGTTCGTTGTAGGAGTTGCGTTCGTTATTGCATTCTCAATTTTATAGGTAAAACCGTTCGTATAGGAATATTCGTAGTAGAATCCGTTCGTTATAGCATACCCCACTGTAGTGGGATTTTAAACATTGTTCTGTATGTATGGTATACATATAGCATGTGTTCTGACTTACGTACGAATCCAATTTAAGAACGTCTTCGGGAACAGAACCCGTTTGTAACCCGGGGACTCCCTGTATGTGTCGTAAATACTAAAAAAAAATTGACAAGTCACTGCGTGTCGTTTGTCTGTTTACAGCAGAACCACCCGGTCCAAGCGTACTCTCACGTCCACAAAAAACAAAATTACACAATGATGCCTCATCAAAGTTGCTTTCATTGGTACGAGATATCATAATAAGTACCCGGTACTTGTGTTTAAGATGACGGGGGTTTGGTCCCCCTGTCTAGAAAGTTACGTAAAGTTAGTTTGGTTTCCTTGGTTGGTTTGGTCAGGTTCTATTAGGTTCTGGTACATGTCGCCTCATTTAAAATATTTACAATAATAAAAATATAATCTTTGAAAATAATGAATTAAATTGAACAACTTCTGCTGCTGGTAGAGGTGTTCTTATACCTTATTCCTGTTTTCGGTGTTTAGTATGTGATGGTGGAATTGATTTTGGTGTTCAGATGAGGAGGGACCCATAAACTCAAGAGATTCTTAACCTTTTTATAGGTTAGAAAAATTTAGGTAAGGTTTTCAAAGGCGTGTTCGGTGTTCTTTAGGGTAATACACGACCGGTGACCGTCAGCAGCTCGGAAATTTTGAGGTGTTTTTAGACAGTTTTGTACACTGATTACTTTCAGTTCTATTCATTTTCTTTGGCAAATACTCAGCTTTCTAGATACAGGTGAGCTAAGATAGGTTAAGTTAGGATAGGTGGTAAAATTTACAGTTTCAGCCCCAACTACTGTTTGACCATAAATGTTTATTTTTCCTGTGGTATTTGGTGTAAGTCATACGAATTTGATCTTCATTTGCGTCACAAATGAGTGGTTACAATTGCTGTATCCCCTAAAACAGTGAAAACTGAGTATTTTCAACCCTTTTTCAATAAAAAAGAGGACGGTCATTATCCGAACAATTACCATTGTTTTTAGTACACTACCCCACATTTTCCCTCTACTATAGAGCCCTGTCCATTTTGAACAACCAATATTGTTTGTTAACGAGGGGGGGGGGGTCACATCTCCATAGAGGCTCATTTTCGATGGAAATGAAGGTGAGATTCGCTTGAAAAAACCCAAAATACACCAGAAAAAAATCTTTTTGTTTGTAGTTTCCATGGTTGACGAACACCAAATATTAACCAAAGTTATTGCTCTAGTATTACCTCATTTCTTTGCTCCACTAGTGACTTGATATACAATCTAAACATTATAAGAAAAAAAAAAGGAAAAATCAATAATTTAATTTGGTTAATATACAAGACTAACCCGCCAGGCTGCATAACACCGATGTGACAATATCATCTCGCGTCCAGAAAATGCCTCAAATTTCACCATATCATAGTAAGTTGTTTCTATTTAATATACCGGGGAAGTTAGGTAAGGTTAAGTAGGTTTGGTTTGGTTGGTTAGGTCTGTTCTTCATACCCACAAATATTAAGTAGCGTTTACTTTAAAAAATATATAATTTTTTTAACATACTGTACTTCCACAAACTACAAGTGTCCACCATAATATAACAATGAAAATCCGGTGTTTTTATAATAGTTTTCAGTCAATTTCGCCTGCGGGTTAATCCGATATATTATTATACAGGAATATTACAATGTACCGGTGTAATATAACCCCTATAGTTACCTGCTTAACTATAAAACCCTCAAAGTTCCTGCAACCTTATAAACATTATACCAAAATAAACATTAAAAATAAACATTATGACAGCATATATTACAATTAGCAACAACTCTTGATCATCTGAAGGGTGTGTGTAGTCTTACCTTCCCTTTAATCACATCATAAAACTCCTCCCGCAGGTCTGAGAGGAACATCCTGCAGGAGTGACTCGAGTCCTCATCAACTTTGTTTACTAAATGCACTACAGATTTTGGCGCCAAGACATGCTGACGTCATAGTTTACAGCGGAGCAATGATTGGTTGTTACAGGAGAAATCGGCCAATCAGAGCCCAGGAATAGAGAGACCCCATAAAGAAAACAAAACAAAGTTACAGAAAACGGGAATTTCAAAACAGCTGATGGCAGGTCAAAAATCAATGCAGGAGAGAGCACCGGTAATTCTCAAGACTTTTGTTAAGATTGTCTGTGACTGAGAGGACTGACTGGCTATTGTTTGTGTGGGTGAGTTTCCTTACTGTATTTTTTAAAGGAAAATCTTAGGAAAATGGCCTCAAATAGGGTGTATAAAGGGAGTGTTAGTATGGAGGGTTGGTGGCCCTGGTATACAGACTGGTGCAGTGTAACCCCTGTCAAGGCGCCGGTGTCACTCGTATATCTATCCATCTATATGTGTATATATATTTAACATTACTACTTGTCAGTTCACAGGATTCTCACGTGGTACATGTCTCATTAAATGGTGTTTTAGATCATAATAATGGTTTCAAGTTGATGTGTCATTGGCTCATTCTGGAATCTCACTTCTGGAAGCCTTTGACATTTAAGACCCGGTGTTGTCTGTGTTATACCCGTACATATTACTAATTACTAGTTTGTTATTATTATTGTCCAAAATTCCAGATAATTCATTGCAAATGTTAAGTACAGTTCTACATTCTGATGAAGACTGACCTCCCCATAGTTATTGAAGGTGTCAATGGTCAGAGCCTTGAATGAGTGACACAAGTTGTTAGGAAAGAAGAGTTAGCCTATTTAACACTGTGCAGAAAATTTCCTTACAAAGGCTGCACAGGTAAATATTCATTAGTTTGTTCTGCCTGATTTCAAAATTATGCTCTTCATCTGTGTAATTAAAGAAAGAAGCTATTGTATATGAATTTAGGGTAGATTTCATTATGTTAGGTTTGGTAATATTTCCTTTTGTTGAATTTAGTTAAGTTTGGGTTAGGTTTGTTGGTGTTTCATTTTGATGAATTTGGTTAGATAAGGAACCATAAGTGAAGATCATTATTTTTCAACCAATCTTAACCTAACCAAAAATCACATGAATTAAAAACTACATATTAGAATTTCTGGTAAAGATTTGTTTTAGATCAAACTTGGAATTTCATATTTTATTTATATGGGAAGAAAGAGCAAAAAAAGGAAAGAAAATTACTTTTTTACATTATTGATGCAAATTTATATTTCTCGAGTATATTGACCAATTAGATCTAACCAATTTCCAACGATATTGGTTGTTCAAAGTGGGCAGGGCCTTGAAGAGGGAAAAGTGGGGTAAAATAGTTAAAAGAACACCAAACATACCTTTGAAAACTTGGTAATTATTCACAACTGACCAGCGGCCGATTTTTCATGGAAAACGATTATAAAAACGCTGCAGTCTCACTGTCTTATAGTGAACGCTGTCATAGTTTGTGCAAATGTGTTAAAAAAAATTATTTCTAAATTAAACCTGACCTAACCTTAATTGATGTGAAAAACAAGCAACAGAAACATTGTTAGAAGATCTCGCTAACCTAACCAAGCAAATCTATCTAACCTTACCTAAATTCTTAGCCTGGGGGCTCTGCCTTCCCTCCAGACCCCCACCCCCCGGTATATTAAATGGAAAGAACTTACTATGATATGGTGTAAATTTACGTTTTTTGTGGACATTACAGTAGCTGTCTGTACTGAACGGTTCATAAGCTTACACCGAGCATCGGTGTTGATCAATCACAGGCAGTGGACTGTTTTGAAATAAGTCAATATGATTGGCTGTTTACATCCTGGGATGAGACATCACTGCCTCATTACTGCCAAGAAGACACAGTAGCTGTGCTTAGGGGCCTAATAATTATCTACCAAACAAAACATTTGTACTGTACATGAAATGATTATCACATAAGTAGGCAGTAGGCAGCTATCAAACAGGGAGGTACTACTGCTTGGGAAGATATTGGAAGCATAATGTGTTGTCTAATGGTGGACCCTGCTGCCATATGTGACCAAGTCCCAGGTTGATGATCTGACTTTCTGCCTCATTTACACACAATTGTAAGGTCTCAATTGTTTCTCTTACAACACAACATAAACATACATTATGTTTCTCACTATTGATCTGTTTTATTTTTCCATTTGCTTTTTTTTCCGCCCCCTCAGGCCCTTACTTTACCTAACTCCCTAGCCAGGGTGCGGACCCCGTCATATTAAACAGAAGTACTTATTATGATATCTGGTACCAATAAAAGCAACTTTGGTGAAGCATCATGGTGTAATTTTATGTTTTTTGTGGACGTGAGAGTACGCTTGGACCGGGTGGGTCTGTTGTAAACAGACAGAAGACACGCAGTGACTCGTCAGATTTTTCAGAGTTGTGTTTATGGTAAATAATTCATTTCTTCGCATACAAAGCACGTAGAAACGTCATTTTAGTGTCATCTGATCAGTTTTTCACTGTATTTTACCCTGCAATGTCCCTCATCTTTCATGCCCTGCCCACTACAGGGGATTTATGATTGTAGATAGAGAAAAACAAAAAAAGAACAAAAATATAATTAAAATAACAATTTTCATCTATTTTAAAATATAATAAGATTATCTGTGGAAAATTTGAACAAAATTGAACAACTCCTTCTGGTGTTGTTCTCATATATTACCTGTACTGTACCCTTACTGTACTGTACCCTTACTGTACTGTACTCTTACTGTACTGTACCCTTACTGTACTGTACTCTTACTGTACTGTACCCTTACTGTACTGTACCCTTACTGTACTGTAAAACTCTTACTGTACTGTACCCTTACTGTAATTAAAATTCCTTACTGTACTGTACTCTTAATTGTACTGTACCCTTACTGTACTGGTAATTTTTACTTGCACTGCACCCCACTGCACTGCAACCCCTTTACTGCATTGCAACTCTCACTGCACTGCAACTCACTGCACCGCACCCCTTACTGCACCGCACTCCACTGCGTCTGCAACCTCACTGCACTGCACCACTGCACTGCACTCCACTGCACTGCACTCCACTGCACTGCAACTCACTGCACTGCACCCCACTGCACTGTACTGCACTCCACTGCACTGTGTCCCCACTGCACTGTACTGCACCTCACTGCACTGCACCCCACTGCACTGCACCCCACTGCACTGCACTCCACTGCACTGCACCACTGCACTGCAACCTCACTGTACTGCACCCCACTGCACTGCACCCACTGCACTAACAGAACTCACTGCACTGCACTCCACTGTACTGCAACTCACTGCACTGCACCCCACTGCACTGTCCCCACTGCACTGCAACCCCACTGCATCAGAAAAATCTTCACTGCACTGTAACTTCATCAATTGCACCTTTACTGTACTGCACCTCACTGTACTGCACCCTTACTGTACTGTACTCTTACTGCACTGTACTCTTTACTGCACTGGTACTCCACTGCACTGCACCCCCACTGCACACTCAAAACTCTTACTGCACTGTACTGCACTCCTTACTGCAATTGCACCTCACTGCAATTGTACCACCTACTGCACTGCACCCCACTGCAATTGCAACGTCTCACTGCACTCAACTTCACTGTACTGCACCCTCACTGCACTGCACTGGCACTCCACTGCACTGTACCCCACTGTACTGCAACTTCACTGCAGCCTGCACCCCACTGCACTGCACCCCACTGCACTGCACCACCCACTGCACTGCACCCCACTGCAATTGCAACCTCACTGCACTGCACCACTGCACTGCACCCTCACTGCACTGCACCCTCACCGTACCGTAACCCTCATCAAAATTGCACTCCACTGCAATCAAAACTGGCACCCCACTGCACTGCACCTCACTTGCACTGCAACTCACTGCACCAAAATCCTCACTGCACTGCACCCACTGCACCGTACTCCACTGCACTGCAACTTCACTGCACCGTACCCTCACTGCACTGCACTCACTGGGTAATTGCACCCCACTGCACTGCACCCCACTGCAATTGCACCCCACTGCACTGCACCCCACTGCACTGCACCTGCACTGCACTCCACTGCACTGCACCTTACTGCACTGGGGTAACCACTGCACTGCACCTCACTGCACTGCAACCTCACTGCACTGCAACCTCACTGCACTGGGTAACTCTCACTGCACTGCAACCTCACTGCACTGCAACTCACTGCACTGCAATCCCCACTGCACCGCCTTACTGTACTGTACCCTTACTGTAATTGTACCCTTCATTACTATACTGTATATCTCATAGGCATAAAATAAGTTCATCAGGAACCCATCTCCATGTAAACAACAGTACCAAATTCATTTCTTTGTCACACCAGAGCAGAAGTTGTGAATAAAAAAGCTATACATTTTTTCTAGCAGACTCGCACCTCAAAAATACCTTAGCTTTCATCTTTATTTCAGATGTCTTCAGGTCATAAGACTCACTCATTCAACCACCCAACGATAGGTGACCCAACATTTCATGTCAGTAATATTAGACAACTAATCCCCCACTCCTACCTCCATTTGACGCTGCATCAAGTCATCAGGCCAGTAAATATTATGACCCACTAATCCCCAGAGCTCCATGGGAGTGGAAAATACCAGTCTTCACTCTAACACAGATCTATTCACGAGGCTCCTCACACGCCTTTATCATATAGAGTTTTATTTATTTTTTAAATATATTTCATCAAACTTTTAGATAAACTATTCAGGATTATTCTAGTAAAGAAATGTGGTTTCTATCTTAATGAGAACTGCTTTTACAGACTCTAATAGTTTAGACTCTTGGAAAAATTTCCCCAGCACCTAGAAACATTCTGAGGAGGTGGGCTAGTGTCTCTCTGCAGCAAGGTACGTAGTTTAGACTCTGAAACTTTTTCTTGAAATGTGTAAAGCACCTAATGACAAGGAATTTTCCGGTTTGAGAAAATCGTCTGGATATCCGAAATCTTCTATCCCTGAAATGGTTCAAACTCAATTGTTCCGGCTCATTGGGGATATCATTGTACATGTGTACACCGTTAGCTGACACAGATAGGGACCGGGAAAAGTCGTTGGTTAGTGAATCATCAGTTATCAAAGCAATTCATCCCATAAGAACATAACAACTAGGTGTTAGGACCAGCCAATCTCCACAAACTCCCATCTACCCTTTTTGATATATCTCTGTACTGTACACTGTCAACCAAGAAAGTAAAGCAGACATATAAAGCAAGCTTTATAAGCCTTAAATAAGCAATGTAAAGCATAAATTGACACAAAGTATTTACCTGTGTTGAGGATGGTAGAGACAGTCTAGGGTGGCAAGTTCAAGTCTCTACCAATCTTTGTTGGTCCATCACCACTCTTATTATGCCTTATTACTTCACATCAAGCTGCCCCTAAACTGTACAGTACAGTATACTGTACTGTACAGTTTAGTATACTGTAATGTACTGTACAGTTTAGTATACAGTTCAGTATACTGTACTGTACAGTTTAGTATATGTTCAGTATACTGTGCAGTACAGTACCAGCGTTCAATACAGTTTGTATATTTTCTTATGGCTTTAAAGGCATAATGTACTTCAGGGACAATTTAAAACTTTATAACTTGTTTAGATATTTTACACATTTGTGACAGTAATATACTGTGGGGAATATTGTCCCTTTATTTTGGGAGGTATGTACCACCCACCACCTCTCTGTGTATGTATGTGGGTCAATGCCATTAATATTGATCAGTACCTTGCCTTGGTGTTATTGTTTATCACACTTGGAGTAAAGTTTGTCCACCAATACACAACAGTATTGACAGTACAGTAGTAATATATTATCATTATGTTGTCTACTAATGGGTAATGTATTCATTTGTGAGGACTTCTACTCCATGTTATGTTTCTGGTCCAGTTCTCTGTAGTGGTAAATAAATTATGTTGCGGACCTTTGGGGTGGATAAAGAAATGATGGCTCTCTGACATGCAAGATCTGTCAGCTGGGTGTTATCAAGGCAATGCTCATATGCTCACTGTGGCTTCTCTACAGCACTGCATTATTTATTTTTTTACACCTTTTTTTTCAATAAAGTCTTTCTTCATAATATGAATATTGTATAGTACATAAAAAACCCGTGCTGGCTAAGTAAATCCAAGTAGTGGTATTGTTGCTGTCAGGTGTGCCAGCATGTCTGTGAAGTACACCTCTCACAGTCAGCTTTTGTGTCTAGACTCAAGTACATGATCAAAATACAATTTAATATTCAGTATTTCTTGTTTCTCTTATAGATGACTCCACAAACAACAATCTCTACAGTTATGTCACACACACTTAATACAGTACAGAGATACATATGTTGCATGTGTAGAGTGCCCACAAGATTACAGTACATACATGCAAAGAGAGCCAAGCTTGCAAGCATATGGTGCTAGTTAGTAATGTTTGACACCTCCATAAGTCGGTCTCCCTTCTTAAAGTTATGCTGCACTTGTGGTGAACATTCCAACACAAATCTATGAAAACAAAAGTACTGCACTTACCCTGGTTGCTAATTTTTACAGGTATATAAATTTAGGGTTTTTACTCTACAGTATATATACTGTACTGTCCTGTACTGTTCTGGGATGTCCACAGTGGCCTGACATGGGGGAGGTTGTTGGGTGTTATTAAAGGCAAGCACTGCAGGAATCATATAATACCAGGGAGTGCTGAATATTAATTATGGTGCCCTAGATGTATAGTACTTTGCAATACTATGTATAGTACTTTATACCCCTCCTTCCCACATCCATGTACTGGGTGGAGGAGCCATTAACAATCTCGACCACAATAACAAACACCAGACCAAAGTATGAACGCAGCGACGTTGCTCACGTACAATATGCTTAGATTTTCTCCTGAGATAATTTATATAACTCATTTCCAAGTTATTTTTAATAATATCCGAGATCTTAGAGGTGCTGAATTATATGAAATTCCGAGATATTAAATGCCAAGTTATCAATTTACCGGTAGTTATTTTATACTGGCTGTTTCTTATAGGGACCGCTTCCCCATTGTGATTAATTCTCAAGTCCTTGACTGTCTTCACACCTCCTGGTGAGTGCGTCGAGTTCACAGATTCAAGCACTATAAGGACCTCTCCTAGTGCTGAGGGAAGAGACGTTTTGCTGTCTCTGATGCTGGGAGTGGAGGGAGCCGGCCTTATACACAAGCTTTGAGTTTTATCTATTACTTAAATGGTTTTTATGAAAGTTCTTTGTCATTTACTATTATGTTTTACTTTACATTATTTGAATTTAGTCTTTTAATTCTTTTTATTTTACTTGGCAGCATATGACCTATGATGTAATGTTAAAGAATATAATTACCACAATCAAGTAAATCAACTGGGTTCATGCCTGATGGGTTTTTGTGTGGTACATCACCCCTTCGCTTACTACAAGTTCCTTCAACATAGATTTGCTCCAACACCTTTTTTTTTTACCTGGTATCACTTAACACAGGGCTAAGATTCACTCAAATGTTGGCTGGTCCAAGCTTACCCGGTATGTGGGAAAATTTGGCCAAATGCGATCAGTTAGAAAATATTTTGTGCGGACCAAAGGAGCCGGCTGATGGCCAAGTCCACTACGAGGAGGATGATCTCTCCAACAGCATCATCCTCATCTGATAATGTTCTACATGATCTCCTTATTTTACAGAGATTCCCTGCATGAAGCCAGTAGACTTTCCACTTCTTTAACTCAAACCTCTTGTTAGGTACACAATGTTTAGTATATTCATCACTGATTCTTTGAAGCTATCAAAATCATTCACTTAACCAGGCCAGATTGGTGGCCACACTACATTCATTGTAGATGGTGCAGCTGCGTCCCAGGACACTGTGATGTTATCAGAGGCATTCTTGATGTTAAAGTTATGCCAGAAAAACCTGAAGATTAGTTTCACATCCTCTCATCTGTTTTGGTGATCAATTACTTTCCAAAGCACTTTTAACCTTAGGCCATTGACATATAAATTTATGTAAAATATTATCAGTTTTGTGCTGCCCATCACTAAGGTTATAGAATTTATTTCTCTAATTAGACTTGATTCAACCAAAAGTGTTTCTCTGATGAATGATGATTTATGTACATTTATACTGTTGTTCCTCTCCATGATATGATTATTATCCCTAATATGTTCTGTACTATAAGTATACGTAACAAAGTAGACAGTGTATGATATAATAATGGTTGTCACTCGTGTAACGAGGGCGGCCAGCCCAAGGGCCACCTAGACGTGAATTTGTTTAAGGTGTAGAAGCTGTCGCCAACACAACACCCACACCCTGAGTTAACGAGCTGCACGACCCAGTGTCAAGGAATATTCCGAGAAGACCGGACAACTCGCCAACTGCACTGGCTAGCCATTACCCCAGAAAATGATTTGCAAATCGATTAACATCCGGTCCCCAATTACTGCTGGGCAGACAGAGGCAAATTACGTAAAGAAACTTGACCATAGTTTCACCCTGCCTGGGGATCAAACCCGGGTCCGCATGCTTGGGAGATGAGCATGCTGACCATTACACCACAGGTCACCATAGACAGTGTATTTACAGTGTGTATCCAATCCCTCCTTGATAGAGGGAGAGGAGAGTCACAGTTAGCTGCTACAGTAGATGGTACAGGACAAAGGTAGGTCATCCTATATCATCGTAACACCATTTGGCCTGACAGCATCTGTTGGTGACCACAGTTCAGTATAATATATGCAGTTGTATATTGTATTTTGTTTATTTACAATATACTGTATTGTATGTGTACAATAAATACAGTTCTGTGTCAGTCTGTGCAAGATGTGTAGTTTAGAGTAGGAAAACTTTCCTCAATACGGGGTGTAAAATTCCACTGTCTCGGCTGTGACACTGTCCACGCCTCACACTCCAGATTTACTCCGTTTGATGCCCAGATCATATGGATTTTTTGTTTTTTATGTATAGTATGGGACTGTATATATATATTTAAACAAACTTTTTGATAAACTATTCAGGATTATATTAGTAAAAAAGTGTGTAACCTAATTAATATTGATTTTATAAACTCCACCATGGACTTTTATAACCTTTTTTTTTCATAAAAGAATCGAGTCCTTCATTGTATCATGTCTAAATATTTTGTCTGAGGATATTTTATTGAAGCAGTCATGTAGAGAATTTATTCAGGATCATTGTGGTACAAAATTTATCTCTCTAACACAATTAAAACAGATGCTGTAAATAAAAGTTTGTACACTTGTTCGCTAGCTGTAAATATATTTGCCTGTGGCCTCGCGAGCACCACGACAGAACACAACTATTACTGTACAGTACAGGGGTAAGAATAAATGATGGAAGGCTAATTGTAAAAATTTTTTTTTAATATTTTTCTTAATATATAATTTGTTAATTTTTGGTTCATTTCAGTAGTGTGAGCGCAAGAAGAGGGTATCTCATCATGGCTGCCAAGATGCCAGAGGCGCTGTATTCGTGTGAAGTGTGTGGATTGGACGGACTTACGGACGAGGACTTGCGGTCCCACATGTTGTTTGCTCATATAGAGGGGACAACTTCGTGTCCTTTTTGTGATCTAGGAGATATAAGTCCCGATGAAATGGTCCATCACGTAAATTCTGCCCACTTGGACTATTTGAGTCCGCAAGATGAATCATTAGACGATACTTTAATTGTAACAAACGGTTTTGGCGACCACATAATAATTGCGAGTCCGTTGAGGAAAGCTCAAGTGAATAACAAATCCTTGGACAATCATGTGCCTGTGATTATGGTAGAAGAAAACGATAACTACAATGCTAACCTAAGTCCATCTCATAGTAAGGGGGGGGATGCCAATAACCAGGGATCTCCAGACCGTGCCCAACTCTCCCTTAACCTGAACCAGTTGGAGAGACGGAACAGATTAGCGAGTCCTGGCGTGCGCAGCCCCCTCTTGGACTCCCGGGTGACGCTGTGTCCCATATGTGGAATGAAGGAGCCGTCGCCGGCGAAGCTCGAAGAACACGTAAACCGAGCGCACTTTGATCTGATGTCGCCGTCGTTCCCAGCCGTCACCCCTCAGGAGGAAGTCATCTATACTTGTCCTGTGTGCATGAAGCAGTTTGAGTCTAGTCCAGACCTCGAGCTTCATGTCAATATTGAACATAAGGATATCCTGAGTCCTGCTAAGGTAATTATGACTAGAATTAATGGGTCAAATAATCCACAGTCTCGGTAGGCCACAAGCTAACCGAACCATTAGGATAAGGGTTTAGTTCTATTGAGCTGTAATCCTAATGGTGAAGACTGTAGGCCATTTGACATGTAATCATTAGTTAATTATGAACTTCATTTGATTAATGTACTGTACTTATATTTTAACCTGTTCATTTGAAACTGCATCTACACTCACCTAGTCATTATACAGGCATCCCCAAGGTTACTGAAGGTGTTAATTTCTTGAAAACTTTTCCATAACGCAAAATTCCATAACATGGGAGCAATTTTCCCATTGACTCCCATTATATATGTAGATACATTCAAAAGGATTTTTTTTTCAGCCCAAAAAATATGAATGAAAATCAACAGTTTTAAACACATAAAATGATTCATTCAAGGTGTAGCATGATAATAAATACACAACACTTTATTTTAACTCAGCAGAAACAATGTTGAGAGCTGTAGGAGGTAGTGAGGTGAGGTGGTGTAGACTGGCAGTAATTTTTTGTTCTATATCACGATTTTTATGTTTGAAAAAATTTAAACATTTACCCAAATTCCATAAGGGCGAATACTGTACAGTCCAGAACACAGACGCAAAACTTAGCAAACTGCGGAATGAATTAAAGCTGAACGACACCAACAATTATACACATGTGTTTCATATAGTATACTCCTGTACAGTAACTACAGCTCTGTATACCACCAAATAAAATGCATTGGCCCAGAATATTAAATTGTGGATGTCATATTAGTGAAGGGTCATTGTAATCTGTAGTTAACTCTTTATTTTTGTAGTAGTTTAGGAGGTTTCTAAACAAATCATTTTACTATAGTACTGTAGATAGGCTGTAGTACAGTGCTTATTGTATATCACTTTTTATTCCTTCTTGGGATATGACTGAATGGTTCCAAATGAATTTAGGTTATGTTGTCATTTTGCATAAATCATGACCTATTTTCAGAAGGGAATTAGAATGGAATCCTCTGCTTCCAGATTTTTGGAAGAGGAGCAGAAGAAGACCCTACCACATAAAGAGAATGGAGGGTCGTCACTCCCAGTTGAGGGTAAACTATCACAGTTTCAGAAATTCTGGAGCATATTACCCTTTTGGTTCCTAGGATGGTTAGGAAGGACCTTAGGTGCAAGATGGGACCTCTTCCCCATCATAGGATGCCAGAGCAGGAGGCTTCGAGTCCTTGGCACTTTGTAACATGATTAAATAGTTCGTGGATAAAGTTAAAGTAATTTTAATCGAGACTTCTGGGAGCCACAGTAATTTTGGGGCCTAACAGGTGATTGCTCTTGTTCCTGGTTGACCATTAGGATGGGAATTTTGTCTACACTGTTGTTTTGATTTGAAGGACACTTAATGGTACATCCCTCATATAAGACCTTTATAAAGTTTACGACTCTAATGTTGGGAACAGTATATGTACCATAATGTACTGTACTATACGTACTTCCAACTCAAGCTTCTTCTCTTTGGATTAAACTCTCCTTCAAAGCTAAAATATAACTATCAGGAGATCTTTGTAGAGGTAATCCACAGCTAATGAAGGATAATTAGCTCTTTCTGAGAACATATCAGGCTGGAGGTTCTAGTGTCTCTACATAGCTTACATGGTGCACGTTTATCACACAATAAAGAAACGTCTTTGTTAACGTCTAGTCCAAATTTATATACTGTAGTAAATTTGACAAAGAAATGGTGAGGAACAAGTCTTGGGGCTTCTTAAAAGTTGATTCTTTATGGTGAACTTTCCTTTGTTTCTTAATGGAAGCTGAACATACGTAAACCAAAACATTGTGTATACCAGGCATGGGCAACCTTTCCTCAGTCATGGGCAACTTTTCCTCAGTCATGGGCAACCTTTCCTCAGTCATGGGCAACCTTTCCTCAGTCATGGGCAACCTCTCCTCAGTTTTGGGCAACCTCTCCTCAGTGTTGGGCAACCTCTCCTCAGCCATGGGCAACCTCTCCTCAGTCATGGGCAACCTTTCCTCAGTCATGGGCAACCTCTCCTCAGTCATGGGCAACCTTTCCTCAGTCATGGGCAACCTCTCCTCAGTCATGGGCAACCTCTCCTCAGCTGGAACCAATTACCCAATATCCCATTGAAATAATGGATTCGGTAAACCAAATTTTTGGTTTATGAACGACTCTGTGGAACGAGTTGTGTTCGTTAACCGAGGGACCACGGTATATGACACAACATCATAAAATGGACAAAGAATGAAAATTAAACAAACAAAAGTTGGTAATTATGTCCAGTAAGCTTCCCTGTGGCCAAGATGTAGCGTGACAGGCAAATAGCCACACTGGAACCTGATAACCTGTGCTGGGTATTTAAACAGTGGCGGGAATAGGCGGACATTCTGGAACGTCACACGGGGCTTGTTGATAGGATGTTCTGGACCGTCACCCCGGGCTTAAGGGTTAATACATTTCTTTCTGATTATATATATATATTTTAGAAATAATTGTCCTAGGGGTAAACACATAAAGTTAATAAACATTTCTTTGTACACGTAAAAATTTACCCCTCCCCCCTCCCCCTCCGGTCAGCAAATGTTATTTGTAGATTTGGCGAATTTGAAGGGCCTACTGTATACTGTATAAAGGAAAATGTAAAAGGAAACACATTTGACATTTATTACACATTAAAACACAATATTTAGGGTCATGGGGGGAAGGCTTAGTGCACAGTGGCCCTCTAAAACCCCACTTGGTAAAAGTTCAGACAATCAGCAAGTCTGGACCCCATTTACCCCCAAATTGTCTAAACTTTTGAGGGTTTACTGTAAATAATAATGCTTGTATAGGTCAGATACAGGTACAGTGTACTGCTTAGCTCTGAAGAGTCGGGTGTCTGCTGTACAGATGATAATCGTCTCGGGTTATCATCATCAGTACTGTAGTTATGGATCCATTTTATATACTGTACAGTATTTACAATATTTTTTTTCCATTAATTAAAAGTAATAATAATGTGTTTAAGTAAGCAATAACATATTTTTAATTCTGGAGTTGTGTTAAGTAGAATTTAGCCTATTGGAGACACCAACTAAGGATTCATTAGCCTCAGAGAGACGGCAACTTCACACATTGGACGCAGGATTTTTATTTTTAGCCGTTTAAAAAAATGCTCCCTGTATCCATTGACCACTCTGGGGGTTCCATAGATAACATAGAGGTGATGTGTTATTCAGCAGAAGTGGATTAATGTACAGTATTGAAGCACTAACATGAGGCTGGATAATTTATACACCGCCTGTATACTGTCTATAATGCTTATTTTAGCCCCTTTGAATTACAAGAATTTTCATTCCATAATTTGCCATCACTCACATATGCTTTTCTCAACAGTCTGATGTGGTAACTCCGGTGGAAAGTGAAGACAGTGATATTGGTGTGTGTCCGGTGTGTAGTCGAGCGGGATTTGGTTCCCATAATGACCTCGCAACTCATATTGATACCCACTTCTCACGAAAATCCTCCATTGGTAGGTATCTTATTTTTATTTCTCTCGGCAGTCTTAACCATTTTGTGGGTGACTGAAGAGGTTGTTTACATCATTCAGAAGCAGGAATTATTTGTCTTTTGCAATAATTAAAGTGTAAAAGATAAATAATTTAAGAGGTGATGCCGATTTACTCAGTTTTTTTTTTTATGTGGAAATTGGCCATAAAGCGATGATGATGATGAATATTTTATGACCAATGAAGAGGATCAGTTGATTTGTTTACTGTCTTACATTAACAAGTTTGTGTTCACCTCTAAGGGCTCTCAGGTGTCCTCCATTAGTATGAGTGAATTATGTTCCAGAATCCTTGAAAAGCTTAAAAAACAAAGAGGTACGATCTCTCCCCGACTCCATTACAAGCCCCGGGAGGAACCAGTTGACGAAGCCGAGAACTGAGAGTCTTCACTGTCGTGCCGTTGTCCACGTTTTCCCACGGCCCAGTGTACGCCTTAAGGCAGGCTTCAGGTTCAAGATAATCTCAGTTCCCCGTTATGCCTCTTGTTGTTAGGAAGTGTATCAACCAGGTCTGTGTTTTCAGCAGTAAGTTGGTCATGTTTTAACTCATACAATCTCGTATAATTTTTTTAAAAATGTCATGCGTGGTGATCTTTCTTTTTTGTTCTTTTTTTTAAATACTTTTCCTCCCTAAGATCAGAAAAAAATACAAGTATTCCAAAAATATAAAAATCAGGGCACTTGTGTGAATAGCCTTGATTGTTCATGTGTCTGATGGGCGGTGTGAGGCTCATGTTGGCCCAGATGCTGACAAGTAGGGATTATTCCCAGCATTTTTTTTTCCCTAATTCTGCCTGAAAATTTTCGAGGCAACTGAAGAACATTTACACTGAATATAAATACTAACCCAATGTATGGCAATATCACGTCTGGCTGCTATGGTGATGCGTGGGTCGTAAGGATACTCCTGCTTTCATAAACATAACACAATATACTATATTTGTTCTGGTCTCACTGTCTCTCTTTGGGGGGGGGGGGTGGTAGGGGACGTCCTCTCCTTCATGGAGGAGGCCGGCCTTCTACACAAGGTTTGAGTTTTATCTATTAATATTTAAATGGTTTTTGTGAAAGTTCTATGTATTAATTGTACTTTATTGTAGTCTTTTAAGCCTTGGTTTAGTTTGGCTTATGACCTAAGGTGTTGTGTCACCAGGGATGTAATTACCACAATCAATCAACCAGGTAAACTAATATGGTGGTGGCCAAGAGGCACAGTATAGTGACCGGGTTTGAGAGCTGAAAATCGGGCATATTTTCTGGAACTTCCGAGAACATTTTTATTTTCCAGGGATGAGGGATTTTTTTTCCGGCTCTGAGAGAGTCATCTCGTTACCCGGAAATCTCATTCCTTGAAGTACTCTGCAGCGGTTGTTCCCGCTAACGGAGATATCACCGTAAAAGAAATGGTTATCATTAGGTCAAAAACAAAGAAAATAAACAATTCTAATGTCTGCGGGAGTTAGTGCGGGAGGGGAAGGTGGGAGTTGTGTCGGGATCTCAACCTCCCCCAATTGGCCGAGCCGTGGCTGCGTTATTGTTATTTCTCAACTCGTATTCTGGGGTAGATATACGTGCACAGTAGTTAGTGCCCGGATTGTGGGAGGTGGGAGTAATGTTGGAAGTTTCAGTCGTTCCAGTCTCCCGCTCATAGTGAAGCTTGCCAACTGTTAATGCGGTAATTTATCTTTATTAGTGTAGTATAATTTTTATTAGTTCCTCACATTTAGCAGTACTACAGCACACACGTGACCTTGGTACCTAATAGCCTCGGATACTGGGGAGAACATATAAAGGAATATGTGGTGAAAGTGTCTGCCTGGGAACACATCTCTCCCCTCTAATTACATTAATTCTTATGGGGAAAATTGCCCAGATGTTTGCAAATCTGTTATTCATAATGTGTTTTAGGAATGCTCCTTTGTGGTAACTGGAGTATCCCTGAACTTTTCTCATAAAGCAGGACCTTGCCACTTGTGTTCAGGAAGCTCTCAATTTTTAGGATATGTGGCATAGTTTGGGGTGGACGTCGCGAAGGATTCACCCGTCGGACAAAAGAGGCATTGTGTAAATGTGGCTTTATGTCATCACTGATCGTTCATTTGGAAAAAGAACTTTCCTTTAAGGCAGCAGTTCCCAATTATGGGTAAATTATTCCAAAGGGAGTAATTTGACATTTTTCGGGGGTAACGACAGCCCATGAAATATAACCATATTCTTCCTGCCTTTTGATTCCATACACAACCACTGGTCAGTCATGTGTCAGACATGTCCTGGACACGACAGAGTTGGTACCTCTTGCCTCACTCTCCCATGGCAGAACCGCGTCTCCTTCACGTAATGAACACGACAGGTCTAGTGTCTCCCACCACACTCCTCCTGTGTGAGAAGGTTGGATCTGAATATCAGCTTGTGCTGTACTGTGCCTAAACCAGATGGCTTTCTTTAGGGAATGTTCTTGCGGTGTTCTATTTAAGAACTGAGATTGAAATGTTTTTGGAAGAGATGGGACACAACTTGGCAGGGAAATTTGGAGACTCAGTTTGAATAATTCTTCTCTGCTATTTGATGGACATATTTTCACATCTAAATGCTTAAAACACATCACTGCTGGGACCAGGAGAGCATGTCATATCTCTTAATGAAAAGATCCAAACTGGACTTGTGGGAGACAAAGCTGAAAATGGGTAAAATAGCTACATTTCCAGAGTTGGGGAATACTTGGAAGACACTGATTCTGTGAGCTTGAGTGATGTGCAGTATATAATCACTTCACACTTTAGGATCCTGTGACTGAGCAGTATTTCCCTGACATTGATCAGTCAGTTAAGTATGGGTGCAGAATCCATTCAGATGTCCCATTGAACATTTGCCTGAAGAACCAAATGGAATTGTAGAGGAAATCCTTGAAATGAAATCAAGTCACCTAATCCAGATGGAATTTGACTCAGAGAATTTGTCGTCTTTCTGGACATTTCATAGCAAGGAATTTCCGTTGGCTAGTTCAAGCACAGCAAAAATTCTCCTACCATTTGGGTCAACATATTTGTGTGGGGCAAGATTTTTGGACGTGTTGAGCATCTGTAGTATAGATAGAAACAGACTGAACCCTGAAAGTGATGACAGATGTGCCTTGAGAAAGTTATCCCCACGATTCAAGAAATGGTCACCAACCCAAAGTGCCATTTTGCTCAACAGTGAAAGTTCTTGTAATTACTGTATAATACTCAGTTAACAATAAAGGAGAGTTTAAATTAAATAACATAGTTTATTTCCAAAAATGCAAATCTTGATAATGAAGAAAGTGACCTTGACCAAAAATAGTACGGAAATAAACACTAGATAAACCTATGTTGGGGTAATGAGTATTGTTGTCTGACTTGTTTTGGGGTAATGGCTGAAACTATTTGGGAACGACTGCTTTATGGTGTCAAGTGATCAGCCTTGCACTTATGGATGTCCTGCTTCCATTATTTTGTGTGGTGGTGGCTAGGTGTTGTCAAGATAACAGTAGGGAAGGGGGGAAGAGCACACTGGGACACTAAGCCACCCTCTATATCTTAATTCTACCGGTGAATTTACATCAACTTGACCCTTTTAGTCTGCTAGAATATACAAGCATGCAGTCTGTTCAGGTTAAGTTATATCCTAAACTACTTGCTGACAGTTGTTAGTAACAGTAATTCCTACTTTGTATTGTACACTCAGGGTTTACTGCGAAGATGTGGCTGTCATTCACACCCTTCCTATCCACCCTATACTGTTTGTAGATATTGCACACCGTTGAAACTTTATTGTCACTTGCATGAATATATCGTCATCATCTTTTTACAGGTCTTGTTTGTTCTGGAGAAGCATGATCATCGTCCCCGGCTCTGGCAGCTCCAGGGTTTGGAGCACGTGGTAAAACAGACCGTGGTGTCAATACTGTACAGGCTCTATCAGTTGCAGTCCAAATTATTGTTGAAGTAATCTATGCCTGAAATTTTTTTTTTTTATCCCAATCTGGATTAACCAACATCCACAGAACATGTGCACTGTAGGCTGAGACGGACACTTCTGGTTTGACTCTGAGCAGTAAATTACCTTTATTTGAATTACAGTATACAGGTACTCCTCGACTTACGACCACCCGGACATACGACCGCCGCAGTCGTATAAAATATTTTTAAAATTACGTATTTTCTAGTACCGAAACGTTTCCGACCCGTACGACAGTGTGGGCTGGGCCGCCTCGTGGTGTACAGCATCCACACCGTAGCCCGCTCAGTTGGTGTTTGACCGTCGTTGGTGTTAGTGATTGCGCTGTGTACTGACAAAATTTTTGTTTCTACTTCCCTTTAAAATGGCTGGCAAGTGTAAAATTGAGAGTTTTTGTGGTGCTGAGAAGAAAAGGAGACAGTCAGTTACTTTTGAGATGAAAATGAAAATAATAATGCACTCCAGCTGCAGCTTGGTGGGCTGCTCCAGTTGCAGCATGGTGGGCAGCTGCAGCATGGTAGGCTGCTCCAGCTGCAGCTTGGTGGGCTGCTCTAGCTGTAGCTTGGTGGGCTGCTCCAGCTGTAGCTTGGAGCTCTGTTATTCACAGATGACACCCTGGATGTACACAAGAATGTCTGTGGGTAGTTTTAAAGTTGCTGGCATTTTTGCAGCTGGGACAGGGAGCCATTCATTCTAGATACAGTAATTTCCTTTACCTGTATTATATATATGTGTGTGTGTGTTTGTGTGTGTGTGTCTACACACACACACACACACAAACACACATACAAATAAACAATAATGGGAAATTACTCTCACAGATAATCAGAAACAAATTTATTCAAAATGTGAGTCTACCCTCAAGTCTACTCCTTGCATTATTAATAACAAAGTATTTTTCCATTATTGTCTATTTGTATGTGTTTTGTGAGTGTGTGTGTGTGTGAGTGTGTGTGAGTGTGTGTGTACACACACACACACACACACATATACAATACAGGTAAAAGAAATAATTGTCCTAAGGGCAAACACATAAAGTGAATATACATTTCTTTGTACACAAGTAAAATGTACCCCCAGTAAGCAAATATTATTCGCTGATTTGACAATTCACGGCCATTTTGAGGACCTAACCCCCACGAATTTGAAGGGCGGGCCTACTGTGGTTAAAAGTGTGTTGGACAAGCCAGTGTTGAGCGAGGGTTTACTGTATATATGAAGGAGTGTTTGTACATGTAACTAATTAAAAAAAGTGAAGAAAGTTATGTTTATCTGCCCCAAATTATGAGTTGAAAAACCCCTACATAGCTCTCCTGCTCAGCCTGCTAATTCTTGCTGGTGAACAAAGAAATGTGCTTTAACCTGTCTCTGTACTCAAGGTTCCTAATGCCCGGGATTAGTCTTGTCATTCTCCTCTGAATTCTTTCTAGGGATTCTATATCCATTCTGTAGTACGGTGATCAGAACTGAACTGCGTAATCCAAGTGAGGTCTAACAAGTGTAATATATGGTTTTGGGATGACCTTGCTAGTCTTGTAACTAACACGCCTTTGTATGAACCCAAGTACTCTGTTAGCCTTGTTTTGAGCAAATACACATTGTTTACTTGGCTTAAGGTTCCTACTTATCATTACTCCTAAATCTTCCTCACAGTCGGATTTCTCAATAACATCGTTGTTCATCTGGTGTCTGGTTACTCTGTAGTGTTGTATGTAGTTAATAAGTCATCACAGAACATAAGGACAATCTTAGTCGTCTCTTGGGATTAATTTTAAGTCTCTTGTTTTGTCGACAGTGACGCCAGATGATGGTGGCTGGGAGAGACGTCTCGTTACGGACCTGGAAAAACAAGAGAAAGAGGTGCAGCGTATGAGGGAACAGCAAGAATTCTCTCTTCTTAGGGTATGTCAGTTGATGTAGTGTTTATTGAAGTCCAGCCACTCAGCTAATCTTCTTATTCAACTGAAATAAGGATCAGTTTGGATTATTTCAAGAGAAAAAGTTTCTTATTTTATTTGTCATTATATGAAAATTATTGGTTAGGTTTTGAATAATGTCAGTAAAAGTAGAATATAGAGACTGAGGATACAGTACTTAAATTGTTCTCCCCCTTGATCACTAGCCCACCCATCACTGACCCACATCAGGGCCTGGGGGGGGGGATGTAATATAATAATACCTAATAATAATAATAATAATAATAATAATAAAGAACAATAATTAAATACAAAAATGAAATAAATCAATAGTGAGAAACGATATATGTATGTTGTGTTGTCAGTGTAAGAGAAACAATTGAGACCCTGCAATTGCATGTAAATGAGGCAGAAAGTCAGATCAGCAACCTGGGACTTGGTCACAATTTTTGTGATGCCATATGGCAGCAGGGTCTACCATTAGTGAATACACTCTGCTTCTAATATCTTCCCAGGCGGTAGCACCTCCCTGTTTGGTAGCTGCCTTAGCTAGTGTGTCATCGCCCCATCCCTTAGTTATAGTTATTTTACAGCAGCTGTTTCTCATCCAACGTTGGGGCCAGAAAGTCAACTTTTGCTGAGTTACTGCTCAGGTGGGGGAGAGGGGGAATGAGTGTGGTGATGCTGTGACAAAAGCAGCTGCTTCTTGCCCTGTGGCACATCATACCCCTCTACCTGCCTCTGATATGAAGCCAGTAATAAGAGCTGCTATCCTCTCGAGTTGGCAGTGCAGGTGAGATGCTGTCGGAGCAAACAAACTCCACAGCATCCACCCTGCATTGGGTGCCTGGGGATATCAGGGCCTGTCCCGCCTCCATATTGGCCACACACGGCTGACTCGTGGTTTTTTTAATGGAGAAGGCGTCCCCGCCCCATTGTGATGACTGTCTGGTCCCATTGATTATTCAACACCTCCTGGTGGAGTGACCCAGTCTCAGAGATTTTCATTGTAAGCACCTCTCCTAGTGCCTGGGGGGGTGATGAGTCTTACCGTCTCTCTTTGGTACTGGGGGGTAGTGTGGGAGGGGACGTCCTCTCTTTTATGGAGGAAGTCGGCCTTCTACACAAGGTTTGAGTTTTATCTATTAACGTTCAAATCTTTTTATGAAAGTTTTGTACTATGTATTATTGTTATTTTGTTATTTTACATTATCTGTATTAAACTTATAAGTTTTTATTTTAATTTGGCAAAATATGGCCAAAGCTATTGCATCGCCAGGGATGTAATTACCACAATCAATCAATCCTCTCCCCCCCCCCCTCCTCCTTACTGTATATACAGTAGTACAGTATTAGTAGTGTACTCTTACTTGGACTCTCCCTCATTTACTCGTTCTACCTGCATTATCTGTGTTGTACCATAATAACTGGTCTACTCATCACCTCAGTCCTTGATAGTTAGTAGAACTTCAAACACATAATGTCTTTATTTTTAATCTTTGTACTAATCCTTAATTTGATTTCCCATAGGCTCAGTATGGCATGGATAATGAAGGAAATTTCTCACAGCAGTCTCTGAGTAACATGCAGAGAGCAGTCTATGCGGGAGAGATGACCGTAGCCGACTATTACGAGAGACAGATTGAACTGAAGGTCGCCGAGAAGAATGGCGTCGACGATGGTCGCTCCTGTACAAAAGGTGAATATAATTATGTTTATAGTTCAAGTTTCTTCTCATATCTTGTTAGTCATTAATATTCCTCAAGAAGAGAGAGATGCATTTTAGAGATTGTTGTTGTCAGTGTGTAACTATTTATGTCCCCATTGTGTATGCAGCATTTGGCTGTCTGTCTGTCTGTACATACCTGGTGCATCTGTCCCACCTAAGTTTGTTTGACAAATTAAAAAAAAAAAAAAAACTTGAATCATCGGATAACTGTGCTTGTTAGGTATGCTAGCTGCTTTATTCATTGTCCTTGCAGTGGGGCCTGTGTAATTACTTCATTCTCCTCCAGGGGCAGATCCAGGAATATCAAAAGGGGGGGGGGGTCCAAGAAGTTGTGGGTGGGGGAACATGGCAAGCATAGCGAGCCCACCCAGCTAGGGGATTTTGGGGGTACTGTAAGCCCCCCCCCCCTGGAATTTTTTTTTAATATGACTAATATCATGGGCATTTTGAGGCCATGTGCACCCTCAGCCTGAAAACCTGAGACACATGCGTGCATGAAAACTTACGCTCAGCCTCAGTGGTTTTTTACAAAAAAATCCTTGCAATTTTTTTTTTTTTTTATGGGCTCATTTTACTGCCATGGAATTGTTTTATTAGTTGTAATGGGGGGTCTCATCTAGTGTAAAATTGTCTGAAAATTTGCATAAAACCATAAAAACATGAAAACTCGTGAAATTTAAGCTACTTTTTCTAAGTATAAGTTGAAAAAGTTGGGAAACCTTTAGTAACATCTCGATTTCCATTCACATTGTGCTTGTATTATAGTGTTCACTGATATGTTCTATATATCAAAATAAAGAACAAAGCTTGAAGAATATTGTGGTCTGAGGATAAATAATATAACACAAAAACTCATGGAATAATTAAAGGGCCAAGCAGCGCCCCCTCCTTTCTCTCTAATGGCCAGAGTGACACTGGCTTCATGCTGGCTGCCAAGACCATTTCGGGGAAGGTGATAAGACCGACAAAAAGAAAACGTTGTCTGTCAAATGGTATTCAAAGTTCAGTCAGCTTCACCGAATAGTTTTTGAGTTATTTTAAAATATAGCGAGGCTGAGCGTAATTTTTTTTTTGCCTTTTATGTTCGACGCCACTGTGGCATCGTACAAGACCGAGCGAGCCAAGAGATATTCTGAGGTCAATAGTAATTACTTTTTACTATATAAAAGTGCCTGAGTACAATACTGCATTAAAGAAAAAATATTAGAATTATCTGATGAATGGGGGTTCCAGACCCCTAAGACCTTCCCCTGGATCTGCCTCTGTCTTCCTAATTGTCCTCCTTCTCTGACACATTCTTTATCATACATTAGAGTACTGTAGTCAGTGTGGATTTTTTCACCTCCTCTTATTCTCCCTCCGACTGTTTTCACTTCTTGTAGTTTCCCCAAAAGATGGACCCGAGTCTGTACTACAATAGGCCCTTCAAATTCTCGGGGATTAGGTTCTCAAAATGGTCGCGAATTGCCAAATCCGTGAATAACATGTGCTTACTTGGGGGTACACTTGTGTGCAAAGAAATACATATTCCCTTTATGTGTTTGCCCTTAGGATAATCCTTTCTTTTACCTGTACTGTATGTGCATGTATATGTGTAGCCACACACACACACACACACACCACATGCAAATAAATAATTATGGGAAAATCCTCTGACAAATAATCAGAAACAAGACAACAAAATGTACTGAATTGTAGAAAAAATATGAGAGTCTACACTCAAGTCAACTCCGTGCTTTGGTATTAAAGTTGGGTCGACATGTGGCAATTTTTTCCTCAGAAAAATGACTCTTTAGAACGAATGGCATCTGAGCGCCGGCTGGATTGATACGTAGATCAAACTTACGGGGGTTTTAACGTAGCCATCTAGCCAACCCAACATGAAGGGTGTCAGTAATTGTGGTGTAATACTGTATTCTTTTTTCACAATATGTATGTAGGATGGTGTGTGCGTGTAACTGAGTAAAAATAAAAATGAATAAAGTTACGAAAATCTATCCAAAAATATGAGTTGAAAAAACCATAACACCTCACAGCTTGGCCCAGTAGCCTGGTGGTTACAGTGATGAGTCTAACCTGGCTATAAATCTATTATTAATCACTATTAAGCACTATTATATCAGTAAACACTAATAATAACAGTAAACCCAGTGAAATATGGCAGGGAGGGAGGGAGGGGAGTTACAAGAGCAGACGACGCTCAACTGGGGGTCACTCACTCCCCTTACTGCTCCTGTTACCAGGTGTACGTATGGGACAAATACATATCTTGTTGTCTGATTTGAAAATGGTGACGAGCTCAGTGATAAATACATTATATAAACCGTGCAGTTACCTGTGATAACATAATAAGAAACATTGTATCATTACTAGAGTGAATTAATATTCCCACAAACAACAATTGACAACTGTGTTTATGTTTCCCACCTCCTCGGGTGCTGACATCTTTATAACTTACCTCCTTTTATATTTGATACAGTAATATAATGTATCACTAACCTCTTGGTGAGAGGTGCTGGGGTTTGGGTTTTGTCGTGATCATATAGTGGGACTCCTGACTGTTTAGTCGTCTTCGTCAGACAGCAAAGGTACTGTAATGTCTGACTGCGTGGATGACAGGTGAGGAGGGAGAAGTAGGGCCAGGTGTAGGAGTACTGCTGGGATTGATGGGGGTTTAGGATGGAAGAAAGAGTCAGTCTTAGTCTGCTGATGAGGAGGGAGAAGTAGGTCCAGGTGTAGGAGTACTGCTGGGATTGATGGGGGTTTAGGATGGAAGAAAGAGTCAGTCTTAGTCTGCTGATTAGTCTCCAGCCGCTTCCTGCTTATCAAGTCCCTCAACTCACGAAGGTGGGAGTAGTAATTTTGTAACTCGGGTCATTTGTAATGGCATGCAGATACTCGATAGCAGTGTCTAATCCTGCCCGGACAGCTGACAACTTCAGACCAAACAAGGTGATGTCTTCATCCTCACTGTCATCATCATCCTCTTCAGGGGCTGCACAGGAAGCTGCTATCTCCTCCTCAGTCATCAGCTGGAAGCCGGGATCACCTTCATCACTGTGGAGCCATTCCAAGACATTTTCTTCAGTTATCGTGTCCTCATCAGCCTTCTTCATATTATGGTGGTAGTCAGCCACCTCAGATCCTTCAAAATCATCTACATCTTTTAGCTATTTCTTCCAGCCGTTTGTGAGTGTCAACACCTTCACATCTTATGCTGCCTTGATGTCATGCTTACGGAGGCTCTGTAGAGTGTGCTGGCCTCTTGTGTCCTCATCTTTATCGACTTCATGCCCCAACACGACCATGAATTCTTGCAAAAAATTCCTTCTATGATTATATCCTCTTTGCATCATAAATGATGCCTTAATCTATTGGCTGGATTAATGATGATGTGTTGGCAGGAAGGAAAATGCACCACATCATGCCATCATCACTAACAATCTCAGGGGCATCAGGGTGAGATGGTTCATTATCAAGTAGAATAATGGCCTTAACACGATAAGCAGGAATCTTCAAGATGTCCATCTGATAACGGCGTATCCGGTTGCAGGCGTGCTTAAAAAAGAAGTCTTTAAAGATTGCTGCCGTAAACCAGGCCTTAGCACTGGCTGAATAATGGACAGGCAGATGATCCATTATGTCCTTGATAGCACAAGGACGCTTAGCGTCTCTTACAATAACAGGAGTTAGGCGGTGCGTGCCGTCAGCGTTGGCAGCACGCATCACAGAGAAACGAACCTTATCCAGCTTCCTCCCACGTGTCGAGTGTTCCTTTGCCAGGACCGAGTATTCTCGGGTAACGATCTCGACAAAAAAGTCCCGTCTCCTCTGCACTATGCACCTGTGACAAAAGCAGAGGCCTTCTCCAACAATCGACTCTGTCAACATCTTCTGAAAAGGCTCAATACCCTCAGTTGGGGCACTTGCAGCTTCCCCACAGACCTTATGGTTGACACTCCCATGCCTCCTCCTAAACCTCCACAGCCAACCATCAGAGGCATTAAAGTTAGTTATGACAAGGTGTGTAGCTAACTTCTCTACAGCCATTTGCATCTCAACGCCATGCACAGCCACACCACTTTAACGCTGCTGTGAATAACATTTGATCACAGCATCTTCCAGTCGTTGATTCTGCACTACTCTCATCAGCTTGCTGTCTTCAACAGTCGTCTTAGAGGTCGAAGAATCGGGACCATATTTTATTGCAAATCAGTGCAGGAAACCCTTAGCCTTTCGTGTATCAGACATCGTATGCTTAGCAACGCCAGATTCGCTACAGCATCTCGCTACAGGCAAACCACTCTCTAACTTCTGTAACAACTCCAGCTTCTGAGCTACAGTAAGCTGCATGTGCTTATTTTTGGGTACCATCACCACACAACTGTTACAAAACCCAAAATAAACGAAGAACAACAAAAGAGCGCGATCGAGAGGTAGCGAGATGGTGTGCACACTCTGAGACTACAAGCGAGACCGAGGCGGGAGCGTGCGCTGTGGCTAGTGGCGGGACATGTGGACCGAGTCCATTTTAACAGCGGGGGAGTAAGCACGGCATACGGACTGAGAGAGATAGAGAGACCGGATAGGAATTTGTCACATCCAGACATCAATCCTGTTGTTAATTCTTTACTCAGTTAGGTTCTCGTTACTTTGCTACTCTGACTTTTTGTTCCTTGTTTAATGATCTCATTATTTGTAGTTGATTTTATTCCATTACAAAACTGCTTTATGTTTTATCTTGTTTCAACCCCAAGCTTCTCTCATAGCCAAATAGATACAGTATATCCCTGCTTGTTCCAGGTCACCCTCCAGGCCTCATGTCCACACTCCATGATCCACACCACACAAAAGGGAACCAACAAAAGACCATAGAGAGATTTACTGATAAAGATTTTATTTCATATTGATGATCAACTCTTTCACAACTCTTCACTTCAACTTCTATTAGTCTCCCTTATCTCAGGTCTCCTGGGGCCCATTAGGGCAGTTAGCGAAGGCGGCAACAATGTCAAAGGAACCTACCTCTGTACCACAGTTGATCATTATGGCTCCACATATGGTGACCGTGGTTGGGGCTGTGGTTACAGGTGAGTTTATGATTCATTTTACAAGAGAAATATTGTTTGTCCTTCACCGCACTGCCACAGATGGACATAGAAATGGTGGGTGTCAGTGTTTGTGCATGCAATACAAAGTCAGTTTTGTTAACCCTGTAAATCAGAGAAAACTTTGGATTTTATTCAAATTTGGAATGTGGACTTGTGATAACATATTAGATTAATTTAAAAAATAGTAATTTGTGTCTTTGTTATTCACCAATACACTAACTACTTGGAGTTCGTTGTGGTAGGGAACTTGGTTGTCTTTAATCCTTTGACCAGCAATGACAGCTACAACCTTTCTTCCCACCACAAACATACAACTGAAGTCCACATCAGTCAAAAAGCTGTTTCAATATCCCGTGCAGTTTGCCAACCCTTCCCCTACCTTGCCTGACTCCCATAGTGCTGCCTCATGTAATGGCTGACTCAAACCTCACTCATAAAAAGTGACCCAATCAGCTGGCCACTTCCACCTATGCTGTGACTCTCTCTCTCTGTCTCTCTCTCAGTTAAGTTATGAACATTATTATAACAACATAGGTAGTGTCTGTGTGTTGTATATGAGGCACGGAGTGCAACAAGGGGCCAAGCACCAAAAAATATAATAAAAAATGCAGGTACTTAAGTCTGATCACAATTTTATTTCTATTAAATCAAACTGGGCAATACCACCTCCCCCACCCCCCTCTAAATGTCAACTATGGCGCTATGGGAGGGCAAGCTGGCAATCCTTACCAGAATTCTTCACCGACTTTCCTTGGGAGGAATGTTGCTTTTCCACTCGGGATGCCTCGATATGTTGCTAACAGCATTGCTGGGGTTATACAGGGTGGTATGAGTGCATTTATCCCATCTTCTACCAAAACTTTCACTTTACAATCATGGTTTGATCGCTCCTGCTCTCTTGCTTGCAGGGTGAGAGATAGGGCATATTGAGCTATGAAACTATCTCCTCCCATTACCCACACCTCTTTCATTACTTCTAGGAATCGTTGTAAGGCTAGTCTTCGTAGGGCCAAGCGGAATTTTATAAAAAGAAAGACCGCTGTCCTGACTAATTCTTCCTCTAGTAAATCCTTCTGGTCTTTAACCAAAAACATCTGTAATAACTTCTGCACTCCTTCTTTTCCTCCTCTCTTCCGACCTGATAACTCTATAGCCAACTCTCCCCCTGATAAAGCCAATCTCTTTGGCACCTTATTCTCCTTTATTTCCACCTTAGACGATTCCCACTTTACCCCTCCTACTCCTCCTACTGAACCTATGCACTCTCCTATAATCTCCACTCGTAGGGTTGCTAGTGTGTTATCCAGGTCGGATGTGAGTATGGCACATGGACCGGACGGAATACCCCCTCGTGTTCTGAGGGAGTGTGCTGAAGCCCTGGCCCCTGTGCTTGCTCGTCTCTTTTGCCTCTGCCTCAAAACCCAAACTTTTCCCTCTTCTTGGAAGCATGCCTTGGTTCAGCCCATCCCAAAGAAGGGTGACCATTCTAATCCCTCTAACTATCGCCCCATTGCCCTAACTTCATCCCTTTCTATGATTTTCGAAACTATCTTAAACTCCCATTTTCTCCGTCACCTTGAATGCCATTCTCTTTTGTCGGATCACCAGTATGGCTTTCACCAGGCGAGATCTACTGGTGATCTGCTTTCCTACTGCACCCATCTTTGGTCATCCTCTCTTAGGGTTTATGGGGAAACGTTCGTCGTGGCCCTCGACATCTCCAAAGCATTTGACAGGGTATGGCACACGTCTTTGCTATCTAAACTTCCCTCTTATGGTTTCTCTCCCCCACTTTGTTCTCTTAATTTCTTGCTTCCTTGAGAACCGATCCATGGCAGTTGAGGGATCGATCTCTCGCTCTTTCTCTACCAATAGTGGTGTGCCACAGGGTTCTGTTCCTTCACCTACTCTCTTCCTTCTTTTTATCAATGATTTACTTCACACTACAACTAATTCTATCCATTCCTACCCTCATGATTCTACTCTTCACTCTTCTTCACATTTTTCCCTTCCCCCTAATTCTCAAATTAGGTCTGTTCAGTGGGTTTGGCATCCTGTGTACCGCCGGCAAGGCCGTGGGCTCGTAACACACGTCTTGCCCGCGGTGCCCACCATTTCTCTGTGGATGTTGGTCACTCTAAAATAACCCGTTATAGTACCTCCTTTCCTCACTCAGCCAAACTGTGGAATGCTCTGCCTTCTTCTGTGTTTCCCTACTCATACAATCTGTCTCACTTCAAAAAGCTGGTTTTCAGGCATCTTTGTGGTGTAGATTAACACAGTATAAGATTTTTCTTTTCTATTTTTAATTTCTTCCTATTCTTATTTCTTCGCCCCCTAGGCCCCGTTGTGGGTCGTTGACCTGTGCCCGGATGGGCTAATCCATGTAAACAATCAGTTTTGATCCTTATCAATAATACTATATTTTTGGTTAATCTACGTGTTGATTGTAAAACCTTAATACTGTAGTAAGAGAAAGAGTAAACACATCATAAATTACAAACACTTTTACATTGGACACATTAATTATTGGAAGATGAAGGAATAATGTTTAGAGAACAGAACGCCACGTTCCTCACTTAGTGCTATAAGCCTCCTACTAACACCTCCTCCTCCCTCTGTCTCCCCCCTATTGGTGTGATAAAACTTGTCACTCGGACAGGAACATAACACACCAGCCCTCAGGCCCACCCACCTCACCAGCCCCAGGCCCACCCACCTCACCAGCCCCAGGCCCACCCACCTCACCAGCCCTCAGCCCTCAGGCCCACCCACCAGCCCTCAGGCCCACCCACCTCACCAGCCCTCAGGCCCACCCACCTCCCCAGCCCTCAGGCCCACCCACCTCCAGCCCTCAGGCCCTCAGGCCCCCCACCCTCACCAGCCCTCAGGCCCCACCCCACCCACCCCACCAGCCCTCAGGCCCCACCCACCCTCACCAGCCCTCAGGCCCACCCACCTCACCAGCCCTCAGGCCCACCCCTCACCAGCCCTCAGGCCCACCCACCTCACCACCAGCCTCCAGGCCCTCAGGCCCACCCACCACCAGCCCTCAGGCCCACCCACCTCACCAACCCTCAGGCCCACCCACCTCACCAGCCCCAGGCCCACCCACCTCCCCACCAGCCCTCAGGCCCACCCACCTCACCAGCCCTCAGGCCCACCCACCTCACCAGCCCTCAGGCCCACCCACCACCAGCCCCACCACCAGGCCAAACCCCTCAGGCCCACCCACCTCACCAGCCCCTCAGGCCCACCCACCTCACCAGCCCTCAGGCCCACCCACCCCACCAGCCCCAGGCCCACCCACCTCACCAGCCCCAGGCCCACCCACCACCAGCCCTCAGGCCCACCCACCTCACCAGCCCCTCAGGCCCACCACCTCACCAACCCTTCATTATTTTTTTTCCCTCAGAAATAAGAAGGTCAAATGTTATGACAGACCATTCCTATGACAGACACCATTCCTATGACACAACATTCCTATGGACAGCTATGACAGAACATTTATGACAGACCATTCCTGACAGACACCATTCTAGACAGACCACACCACCCTATGACAGACACCCATTCCTATGACAGACCATTCCTATGATATTCCTATGACAGACCATTCCTATGACTGACCATTCCTATGACAGACCATTCCTATGACCATTCCTTTATGAAAGACCATTCCTATGACAGACACCATTCCTATGACAGACACCATTCCTATGACAGATGACAGACCATTCCTATGACAGACACCATTCCTATGACACATTCCTATGACAGACACCATTCCTATGACACACCAGACACCATTCCTATGACAGAACATTCTGACACAACCATCTATGACAGACCATTCCTATGGACACCATTATGACACACCACCTATGACACACCATTCCTATGACAGACCATTCCTATGACAGACACCATTTCCTATGACAGACACCATTCGTATGACACACCATTCCTATGACAGACCATTCCTATGACAGACCATTCCTATGACAGACCATTCCTATGACAGACACCATTCCTATGACAGACCATTCCTATGACAGACCATTCCTATGACAGACCTTTCCTATGACAGACACCATTCCTATGACAGACCATTCCTATGACAGACCATTCCTATGACAGACACCATTCCTATGACAGTTTTGTAGAAACATGGACTCCCATTAGCTCAGAAAGTGGAACATAATGAGTCGCCAGGAGTGAGAGGTGAGGGGCCGTGGGCGCTTGTCCCCTTCTCCCCCTCAGTTCGCCTCGAGGCTCAGATCACGCTTTACCTACCTTCATTAATATGGCTCTCGGCCTTACAAATATTGCTCTACCGGGACATTTTTGTTGTTTCTGGCAGATAGAGATAAGTTTGGGCGGTACAGATAACACTATAACTAAATTTTTGGGGGGATAGCGCTTGGTTCCTTGTGGCACTCAGGACCTTATATTATAATGCATAAAGATATGTGATGATAATATGTACTGTAGTATGGTGTTTGTTGTTGGTTGTTATTATCAGCACTTGGCTGCTTATTGTTTACTGAACCCCAGCGATGTTTTGTTTTCAGTATTGCTTGCTTGTATTTTTCTTACTTTGTGGTACAGCTGTAAGGGGGGGTCATCTTTAATGGTCAAGTTACCCCTTTATGTTTGTTCATTTCCTTATCTGTTTATTCCTTGCATCTTAGTTAGTTCTCTTCTGTTGTGTGAGAGAAGCTCGTCCTTGTCTATTATTACACACTTGTCATTATTTAACTCTCAATATTGCCACCACCCAGACTTTTATCTTTACAATATAACACCAATATTAACAGCGATGGCTGATGCAGTGGTGGGTTTTGAGGTGGTCTTTCCTGACTTCTGTCTGGACGGTTGTCTTCCCACTATGGCATCTATTTTTATGGCAGAGCTGTCGGGTATTTTACTTGCCCTCAAGATTATTTTTACCCACCCTCAGTGATTTTACAACTATTAGTGATTGTCATAGTGCTCTCCAGGCCTTAGCTAGTGTGTCATCGCCCCATCCCTTTGTTATAGATATTTTATAGTGGCTGTTTCTCATCCAACGTTGGGGCCAGAAAGTCAACTTTTGCTGAGTTACTGCTCAGGTGGGGGAGAGGGGGAATGAGTGTGGTGATGCTGTGACAAAAGCAGCTGCTTCTTGCCCTGTGGCACATCATACCCCTCTACCTGCCTCTGATATGAAGCCAGTAATAAGAGCTGCTATCCTCTCGAGTTGGCAGTGCAGGTGAGATGCTGTCGGAGCAAACAAACTCCACAGCATCCACCCTGCATTGGGTGCCTGGGGATATCAGGGCCTGTCCCGCCTCCATATTGGCCACACACGGCTGACTCGTGGTTTTTTAAAGGAGAAGGCGTCCCCTCCCCATTGTGATGACTGTCTGGTCCCATTGAATTATTCAACACCTATTTGTGGGGTGCCTCAGTCTCAGAGATCTTCATCATAAGCACCTCTCCCAGTGCCTGGGGGGGTGATGAGTGTAAGAGAATGGTTAAACTTGCCCTGGGTAGCCCAACAGTTGTGTTTCTGTCAGTGAACAAATGCATGATGATTTACTGTATCTGTTCTTGCTGTTTTTTTATTAACAGATACACAAATATGTAATATTTTTCTTGATTTATCATTGTGAGTGTAACGTATTATTGTCGTAATAACTAAAAAGTATTCAAATGCTTTCAGAAATATACAGATGCTGCTGAGTTCTCTTCAGCATCATACAGGCTACTATGCTCGCCTCTTCTCTGGACCCAACTTGATGCCTTCTATCTCTCAAGTCCAGAAGCTTATTGAGCAAGCTTGGAGAAATGGGTTTGACCTCCAGGTGAGAATATGCTGACTTTTAAAGTTTGCAGGTCTATTTAAGAATAAACTACTTTATACAATATACTATATAGAGACATTAATTGGTCACACAAGATTTGTTACACCTTAAAATAAGTAAAGGATCATTAAATTAATGCTATACCTTCACCCAGACAACTCACGGCTGTCCACACACACTACAAGTATGGTCACAGTTCAGCCAATCTTGTAAGTGATGACCGTGTATGCAAGAAGAGCATGAAATTATTTGTATTCATTCCTCACATTTATGGATGAATACACTAGACCACGGAGGAATACAGATGCCACACTAATCCATATTCATTCCTCACATTTATGGATGAATACACTAGACCACAGAGGAATACAGATGCCACACTAATCCATATTCATTCCTCACATTTATGGATGAATACATTAGACCACAGAGGAATACAGACGCCACACTAATCCGTAGAGACTTGAAATTCAACGCCGTGGTTGGTGAAATGTTATACTGTAGGGTGAAAAGCGTGGTCACCAGGAAACTGCAGATGGAAAATCCTCAGTTGGCTTTGACTCCTGCCGTTTGCTCTGATGCTCTGCTCTATACAGATTGAACCCAAATCATTTCAAACACAATCATGATACATAAGGCAGCACACTTCTTCTGGTGAAACTCTCAGCACTACACTGTGTTAGATGCCATTGACAATGTCTTTGTTCTATGAATATTACTAAGAGTTACCCTCCCTTAACCTCCAAATCTTAACATGTGTGTCATAATAAAGAGTATTCATAAGCTCGTTCCATAACACATTTGTTTGTGTACAACAACTCGGCTCCCTGTGTGTATGGTTTATTACCTTATTAATTTCTTTCATTTTCTTCCTTAAAACTATTACTTCACACGACTTAATAGGTAAGGATACACCTAAGTTGCTGCATCTCATAATATCCTTAAATCCTATATTCCAACTCATTTACCAGGATGGCAGACGTTCTTACAATGTGTGGGTAATACATACGTGCAGTTCCTGTTAATTTCTCTGTATTGACGTGATAAACAGACTACGTCGTACAGGTTACACGATACATTACACAATCGGAAGGCCGTCAGCTCAAGGGGTGCGGAACATTTATTTATTTATTTACTGTACGTGGAAGTTACCTCACCATTTTATACCTACAGGGATGCGAGCAGTTAGGTGGTAAGTTATCCAACACGAGGAAATGGATCGGTGCCACAGAGGTTGTTACTTTACTTTCATCCTTTAGAATCAGGTGAGTTATTTGTTGCCTTGGTGATGTGACCTGGTCTAAGAAAATGACTATCACTCGGTATTTAATTATTGATTTAATGTAAAGAAATAAGTGAGAGAAATAAACCTTGATTGTCAGAATGTTTTGGCCTGGATAAATACGGCGCTTTTTTGTTTTCTTTTTTTTTTTACGGAGTTTATTTGTTCGTATATTCCCGAGGGTTTGAGTACCGTTTGTCTCTAACTAAATACTGATACTTATTCTCCATTTCTTAGGTCATGATACATTAGGGAAGTTCCATACATTTAATGAATCTTTAGTAATATTTTATCATTGATGTTTTAAATGAATATAAGCTATAGTACTTCAGTTTTAATCCATCATCAAGTTAGATTAGCACAAGGGTTTGACTCAACTCTCAACTTCAGGTGTCAACTGATTGACTGCCATCGACCAACAGGAGCAGACGGGACCCACCCTGAGTTGTTCCGATGGTGCCTTGACTACTTTTCCAAACCTGCAGAGTTCAAGCCTCCCATATATCTCCAGCATCAGGGTAAGGCTCTCTCTCTCTCCTCGGGTGTTTTCTGCTCACTAATACACAAGTCCCTGGCAAGTCTTCAAAGCTCAGTACATATTGTAAAACATGTGAATCATAATTAACGGGTAAACTTTTTTATGGGAAATGGAAAATCTTGGGTGCCACAAATTTTCCCTAAATTGAAATTCCTTTTATTGAGACCAATTTTTCCATACCCTTATTATATGAGTGGCGACGGGTTCCCACACAATAAAATCTTGAGTCTTCAGAGTAACAAATGCTGTACACTTAATAACACAACAACAAACTTTATTAATACTATACTGAACAGAAACACACACAGTTATGTAGCAGTTAAACCAATGAAAGAGAGAGAGGTGGTGTGTGTGTGTGTGTCTGTGTCCATATAACACACATCGCCAGTGAGCTGTGGCGTGTAAGATGGCTGTGCATGTTGCCTCTGTTACATGTAATGAAATTCTGAAAAGTGCGGGAAAAATTATTTGAATACTGTACTCTAATATAACAGTGGTATTTTCCCCGAGTTTAAACAATGCATCTCTCGGGAGGTATTTATTTACGCACCACTGTACAAATACAATATTGTTAATACTGTAAAGAAAATAATGTATACTACTACTACTGTACTGTATATATTGTACTCAACAGCAGACACTGACTGTAATACATACCGGGTAACTGCAATCACGTCTTAACACTTATATTGGAGGTTGGATGGGGGCGGGGGTTACTGACCTAACCTGATGCAATATCAGGTCAGCCATTGTCTATGTGGGGGATTAGTGGGCCTCATGACCTGAAGATGTCTGGAATAAAGACGAAAGCTAAGGTGTTTCAGTGTTTCCTACTTACTGAATATGCAGTACAGTCATGCGCCGGTTAACGTCCTAGATACGTTCTTGGAAACGTGATGTTAACCGAAATGGACGTTGTCCGAAATTACATAGACCTATCGGATTTATTCTAATGGGGGTTCCAGGCACCCAACCCCAAGTTTCCCATTTTACAACCATTTAGACCCACTAAATATATATATACTGTATAATGTTATGGTAAATATCATAAACACACATAGGCATGGCTAGGTTTATTACAAAGTGATGAAAAGGATAATGTAAAGTGGGTAGTCCACAAAACATGTAGCCATGTCTCTTTATTTGAGTGCCCTTCATAGGAGTCCGTTTTCTCTCACTTCAGGACTCCTGAGTCGTCCGTTTTCTCTTAATCTTAGAGTGCAGTACACCAGATACTTCTTTATTTCGTAGTAATGACACAGAATTTGAAATTGCAACCCCAATTGCAACTGGAGTTGCAATTGTTGAGGCAACTAGATATGTCTGATTACAGCAAATGTGTTATTGTCGATTTGTGGGTGAAAGATTTTATCTTCAATAGATGTAGGTTAACATTACACTTGGAGGCAAATGTTTAAAAAAGTCTAATCAAGGAAGCATATTCCATTAACACATAATATCTGACCAGTATGGGGAGGATCATCGTGTCTCCGTCAGGGGGTCGTGGAGTGGTGGTCCAGCAGGCATCACAGATTTTTTTGGGGGGGGCGGCGGCGGCGGCCACGGACGTATATGCCATCGGACGTTGTTCGGTCGGACGTTAACCGGCGCATGACTGTATATTATAGATAACTGTAATCACTTTTTACATTCATAACACTGAATTCTTGGCTGATTTTGTTCAGGTACAGTCATGTACAGTGCTGCACAACACAAATTGTACAGAATATGAACTAAGTGATCCAAGCAGCTACCCCGACCCACACGCCTGGCACGTGGGGATGTGTTGGAGCATGATGCAGTCTCTCGGAATGCCCTGAAAATTTATTCCCAGGCCCAGAACGGTGTGATTTGGAGAGAGTTTCCTGAAAATTTCTTGGAATTTTCCAGAAATTGCACTTGATTTTCAACCTCGGAAAGTCGTTCACAAACCTGGAATTGAAAGAAATTATGCGGAAAAATTCTGAGCAAATTTCAATTCTGGCTGTTGGGAGAGTTGCTGTTAAGAGGGATCTCAGCTAACAGGTACAATATTACTTATAGTTTGTAATTTAACTTCCGAGTAAAGGAAACACATATTATATTTACAGTAAGTTCTCGCTTAACGTCTTGGTTACGTTCTTGAAAAACACAACGTTAACGGAATCAATTTTCCCCGTAAGAAATAGATAAAATACACTGTTTACGTTCCCCAGCCTCCCTTTGCCCCATGAGATATATTCCTCTACATAAATTCAATGGAATTTTTATAGAAAATATTATACGAGTGTACTTTATTATACATGCAAAAAGATAAATAAACTAAATCATTTTGTATTGTACTCACTGATGGGTGGAGGTGGGTAGTGGAGAGGAGGAGGAGGGTGGTAAGTCACTGAGACCCAGAGGGTTTAAAATTCCATTATTGTATCAAGGTTAATGGTCTTGCATTGTTTCTTGACAACACTAGCACTTAATGGGCACTTGGAAGCCATTTTGATTGGTTAGAGTACCTGTACGGTATTTAGAGCAAAAACACTTAAACACGCACGAACGCTGTGGAAGCCTAACAAAGACTGGGGACGCCGTGATGCTCCGCGAGAGAGCGTAGCGCGCCAAGATGAGAGAGGGCGATGCACCATACAAAGTAGTCTGTGACGACGTTATAACGACATAACATTGTCGGGGGTAACGTTAAACGAGGACTTACTGTATTACATATTAAAAAGGGCTAATGAGTGGTTGGTGAGTGCACAGTGGTCCCCAGAACACCCTAAAAACAACTTGGTAAAAGTCCAGACAATAGGCAAATCCAGATCCATCTTTCCCCCATAATTGTTTGAACTTTCGGGGGTTTTACTGTTCTGTAGAAATAATAAATAAATCATATAACATTTAATAAAAAAAAGACTTCACAAATGCACACAGAGCTTGGCAGGATTATGGCCTGAAGCTTCCAACACTGAGCAAACATATGCTGGCTCTACCAACACCACATATGCTGGCTCTCTACCAACACCACATATGCTGGCTCTCTACCAACACCACATATGCTGGCTCTCTACCAACACCACATATGCTGGCTCTCTACCAACACCACATATGCTGGCTCTCTATACATATGCTGGCACCAACACCACATATGCTGGCTCTCTACCAACACCACATATGCTGGCTCTCTACTGCTGGCTCTCTACCAACACCACATATGCTGGCTCTCTACCAACACCACATATGCTGGCTCTCTATTAGTGATTTTGTCCATTACATCAGTGACGTGTAAATAAGGCCTCTACGAATACTGTATTTATGTATCTTTTAGGTTTTGTTTTTTGTTCATTGCATAGCCATTCCTCGAGAGTATCACCAAGGCTTAAGAGATTCCACTGCTGCGTCATCTGAATAATATAACAGCCCCATCCACGACTTGTACTACGCGTCACTTTCTCTTTGACAGGCCACAGCCGAACTATCATTGGCGTGGAGCAGCTGGGTGGTAATGAAGGAGGAATCCGGCTGCTGGTACTAGACCCGTCCCACTCTCCAACACAGGTATCCCAGCTCCTACAGACACACACAGCTCCCGGCGCCATGAGACTACTACGTAAACCGCTGTCGAGCATGAGAGCCAAGCAGTACCAGATGGTGGTTGTGGTCGGCCTTATTGAAACTGAACAGGAATATCAGGTCAGTTTATTTGTTAATGAATACTTTTTGTAAACTTTTATTCTGTTATACATTTTCATTTATATATCTAGTAGAGGTACAGTGTGTGTGTGTGTGTGTTATCTTGTGGGTGTGGTGAAGCTCAGATAGCCTAAGGAAAGATCTCATGTGTATTATGAGTCAAGGTCGTAAATGAGAGTGAGAGGTGACAGAAGGCATATCATGTACTGTGGCATAGATTTTCTATGTAGAGTAATGTGTGGGCAAACTTGGGTGCTATTTGAGGTCACGTAGTCTTGCGGAGGAGTGTTGGCTCTTGCTAGGCGGCCCGGCCCAGTCTCACGTGGTATCTGCATCACCAGTGTTGTACTTTTATCTAGATAAGATTATGCTTCTCCACAACTTTTGCCATTTTAAGCATGATGACTCTACTTAGAAGTTTACAGTCCTTTCCTCCTTCTCCTCCTCCTCTCCCTTTCCTACCTCTATGGTGTAGTAACATTGCCATAACACCAACAATGTCATCCTGTGAGATTAGAAAGACAGCTTTAGAGATTATAGTAATGTGTTATACAAGAATACCTCGGTTATCGCAAAGCATCTGTTCCTAAAAGTCGTTGCGAATAATAAGTTTACAAATATTGGGGCAATCCCCCCCCCTCCCCCCCCCAAGAGTCAATGTACACTGTACCCTCGTTAATTGAACAAAAGGAAGCTCCGGGTCACTCGAATTACCGAAAAATCCAAATTAACCGAGTTTGAAATATTTTGACATTGTTCGACAATTTCCGAAATTTTGTGTTCGATTATTTGCTTGTTTTCTGTTCAGTTTTTACACCTGGCCGTACCTTGGCTGCATCAAAATAATCTATTTGTAATTAACGTGCAAATATATATACTGTATATAGTTTTAATACACATACAGCAATAATAAAATTAATAAAACAGTAATAAATAATTGTAACACTGCGAGGTGACAAGGCGAGGGGTGAGGTGACAAGGTGAGGGGTGAGGTGACAAGGTGAGGGGTGAGGTGGTGACAAGGTGAGGGGTGAGGTGACAAGGTGAGGGGTGAGGTGACAAGGTGAGGGGTGAGGTGACAAGGTGAGGGGTGAAGGTGACAAGGCACACATGAGGTGACAAGGTGAGGGGTGAGGTGACAAGGTGAGGGGTGAGGTGACAAGGTGAGGGGTGAGGTGACAAGGTGAGGGGTGAGGTGACAAGGTGAGGGGTGAGGTGACAAGGTGAGGGGTGAGGTGACAAGGTGAGGGTAAGGTGACAAGGCGAGGGGTGAGGTGACATGACAACACACACAGTAACAGCTCTACTAAACCATTGTCTTATAACATTTTAATTTATCATTTCTATCTTAAAATTAACTCATACATGATGGCTCAATTTGGCAACTTTTTCACTTAGACAACTGATCAGTGATGGTTTAGACAACTGATCAGTGATGGTTTAGACAACTGATCAGTGATGAATAAATCAGGGCATATGGAGATGCATTATACATTACAGTAATTTTTATTAAGTTATGATAAATACTCTACATTATTATTTACTAAGTTGTCAAGACAGATCCTAAGCTAAGCACCAGGTGGACCAATCAGCTGTCACCTCTGTAAACACGAGACCTGGAATATACTATGGTGCAATAGCTCATCAGGGATTGGGGGGCGGGGGGGGGGATTAATAATTTTTGGATGATGTTTTATTAACCCAGCACCAAATGGCCCTCAATAATATAGGAATTATGGTGAAATTACTTGCTGTTCTTATAAAGGGATTGTGGGCTGCTGAGCGGGAGATGTTAGGGGAGTGAGAAGTTTTTGACGTGATTTTATTTCTTTCATCTTATTTAGTTCTCTTCTGTTGTGTGGGTGAAGCTCGTCCTTGTCCATTGTTACACGTTTGTCATTATTTAACTCTCAATATTGCCACCACCCAGACTTTTATCTTTACAATATAACACCAATAATGAGGTTAGTCACGTGAGTTATAAAGAGTGTTTTCAGCGACGGCAGTTATCAGAGGGAATGAGCGGCGATACACACATTCTTCTGAATCATTATATATTAAAAGTAAGCAATTATACTGTGACAATTTGAACTCTCAATCACAACAGGAACTTAATTTCACTTAATATTGATTACTTTACTTGAACACTTGGAGACCTTATAAACTGACCAAGTAACAAAATAGATATTTGAGTTAACAGTTACAACACTCAATAAACTTACCAACATAGGGGCAATATTACACAACAGTGACACTGGAATGATGGTTACTCTCAACACTTGTCAGTCATGTTATTACTTCTATCACCATTAACTACTTGAGCTTTAAACCACACTACAGTATTACTTAATTAACAAATATAGACAAATACACCAGCATATACAGGCATCCCCCGTGTTACGGAAGCCCGGGTTATGGAATTTCGCTCTTACGGAATTTGTAAATTATGACCAATAATTTCGCGTTACGGCCCGTAAATACACCCTTACGGAAATTGGGGTAAATTTTAACAAACACAAGGCCTCACACATGCCATTCAGACTGACAGACTTGACAAGTTTTACCAACCATAAAGACAGTTGAAGCTTTAAACATCATTCACAATGGATCTTGAATATTCCAACTGTAATCAGACATACCTAAGTTGCCTCAACAATTGGAACCCCAGTTGCAATATCAAATTCTGTGTCACCACTAAAAAATAATACCGTAGTCCCTGGTGCACTCTTAAGATTAAGAGAAAACGGACGACTCAGGCGGCCTTGAGGTGAGAGAAAACGGACTCCTATGACGGGGCACTCAAATAAACATACACATAGCTGTTTAATGCAATATTAACCCCTAAATTGGTGTTTTAAGAAGGTATATCATAAATTATTTAATGTATTGTATTGTATGTGTTTATAAATGTTTATTTTCATTAATAAAAATGCTTGAATTACTTTTTTGGGGCCGAAAAAATTCCTTAGGAACGCATCTCCAGTTTTATATTGGAAGTCAATGGGATGCCTGTACCAGCTTTGAGTACAGCTGGTTCACTCAACATACACTAATACTGATTGCAGTAATATATTTGGTCTCAATACTCGACCTGGGACGGCTATACTCCCAATAACCCGTCCACAATGATACATACAGGAGCACTTGTCTTGCTGCACTGGTTCTTGTCTGTCTTTGAGGTTTCTCCCCTTGATGACAATAGCACCCCTCTTACTCAACCTTTGTGGGAGGGTGGGATGAAGAGCTTGCTAGTGAAGGGGGCTGGACATTCAGGAAGCAGCATTGTGTTTGGAATGACTTAAGAATGCAGTACTGAGTGACTTTTGTGGATGGATATGCTGCTGTTGGATTGTGTGATGCCATAGCAGAGAGAGAGAGAGAGAGAGAGAGAGTTTCTTCTAGGTTTTGTCCATCTGCATTAAAGCTGTGATGATCTTCAATGAATAAAAAACAATCATTACACCTTACACCAATATTTTGTTAACAAATTTATTTCTTTTACAGCAAAGCAAGATTCTTCAAGCATCAACGAGAATACCGAAGGATTGAACTTAGTGCTGATCATTTTTAGACTTTTCACGTTGTTGAAAAACTGAATAACTACTTTATGTAAGTTTTGCCGATGAAAACAAAAATTGCCTGTTTATCTGTATATGTTTATTGTCATGAGAAACAGGCCCACTGCCGACCACAGGTTAGTTGTGATAACCAGCCCTTTCAGTTTTTCTATGATAAACTGCCTGTTAGCTTGGATTGTTAAAATATTGTAAGAGTTAATCATTGGGTTAAAATAATACTGTACAGTAATTATGCCTCTATGGGGGATATGTTTTTATTTATTTATATTTTTAATTACCTGAAGGAAACTCAAAGATTGGTTGCCTTGTACATGTTGCACTGTCAGGATCCTCAAGCGTTCCTCTGGTTTATAACTGTATTTTTATGTTATCTGTGAAGCCTCACCCTGGGGAGGTGGCCACTCACCCTGGGAAGGTGGCCACTCTAGAGGAGTCTCTGGCCACCTAATTGCTCTGCAGTATATTTCACTATTTCACTATAATTTTCTCATAAACTTGTATTATGATAATACACATCAAGAACAAATTTACATTCAAAATTGCTGTGTAGTGCAAGAAGATGAACCATCATATTGTATGAGGGATCTTGAACTGTGTTTGTGTCAGTAGGTTATATTATCTCTCACTTCTCTTCTCCCTCAGTAACAGCATAATGGTGTTTGCAAGACATATTGCAGTGTAAATACAAGGTGTTTTGATCAAGTGGCTACTGGCCTTATTGTATAGTTCAGACTCCTTCAGTTTGTTCCTATATTTCCATCAGTCATTATTATCTGTCCCATTTATGTTATGGTTTACAGTAGTGGCCTCCCAGTCCTCAACTTGTTGGACCTTGTGGCTAAATTTTAGTGAAAACCCTGCAATATACTTTATCTTCTGCACTAATAGGCCTGTTAGCCACTGACTACAGATATTTTTCATACAAATGGTGGTAATTAGGTTTAAGAGCCGAGGTGTTCATGTTACCTAGTTCACTTTACTGTACTGGCCACCACAAGTCAGGGAAGGATCCAATGGTTTGTTAAGGATCCTCTCAATCTCTCTCTTTATTTTTCACTGAAGAACTCCAAAGGAAAAATTTTTGTTTTTCATTTTATCGATAATATTTCGAATAATTCATCCATATATTCATTAATTAGGCCTTTAAATGCAATCTTTCATAATTTACATTGGAATTACTTTTATTTGATCAAGTAGTATTTATTTGATCAAGTTTCGCACTTTAAACACTTTCATAAAGATGCCTCAACATAAACATCAATTTGTATATGTTTGATTCATTATATTTTTTACTTGGGGAATGAATTTGATAGGAATGGGCAACCTGATGTAGGATATAGTGTGGGTAATACAGTAGCCAACTTGCATATAAGCAGATCAAAGTAGGGACCAAGTTATAGCCAACGAAAATATATTTACCACTATGGAACTCGACATTCTATTTACAGTATTATTCTCGGAGTAGCTTTTAGTTTTGAGATTTTGTTTGCAGATTCTGCCTCAAGTTTTCCTCTGCTATTTTCTAGTGTTAAGTGTAGCCATGTTGAATGCGTCTCCTTATTGCTCTAAGTAAGTTGGATTTTGTTGGCATTGAGATCACTTTCACAGGACTGTATTGTAATTCTCTGGACTCAGTTGATAAGATGCACTTTGAATCCCATAGCCAGGCAGGGTTGGGGGAGCATTATGTGCTGTGGCGTGTGCCTAGCTGGCCGCCTGTTAGCATGTCTGTGTCCGAAGCTAACAATCTACCATGCCTGGGACTTGCTAGCTGACAAATTGTGGAAAATGATAGTCTGTTGATAAATCGGTCTCTCTCTCTCTCTCTCAAGTAAGTTATCAAAATAGATTTTGTATTGGTTTACTGAATTAAGATTGGTTATTATTAAAATTCAAAATATAGTAAAGTACCGAAGCTGAAATGAATTACTGAAGAAATACGTAAACAATGCCTATTCCTTAAAACTCCTTCCTGGATTTCGTAAGTTGTTTTCCTGGTATGTTTGTGTGAATAAGGTGACAGATATTGGTTGTGATCAGTATAATTACAGGCACTCCTCAGTACTGTACAGTGGAAGTAATGTACCTTACAGTATAAAGCAAAAAATTAATACAGTACAATATAGCAAATGTTATATTGCCAGAGACATTGTTTTATAAAATGGCTCGCTTTCAGATGCGTTATTCATCCAAACCTAACCTAACTCAATACAAAAAATCGCTAAATTTATATCAGAATAACTAGAGGAAGTCCCGGTTTATGAAGCAATTGTGTTAAAAAATTTTGTTCGTATCTCAATATCTCAGACACAAGCCAATTTACACCATAATTAAGCTGAATTATTCTACATTTACATTGAATAATACAGGTTTAACGTGCGAGGAAGCTTTACTTCGTGACCGCGATGCTACGTTAGGTAATGGACCAAGCTCAATCTGCCTAAACTCAACCTGACCAGACCCATGTGGCCATCACCCACGCTATGGTATTTATTGTGAATTTGTTTTATTTGCCTCCTGAACATTGTTAAAAAAGGTCAACAGATACTCTAGTACTGTACAGTATAGGCATCTGCAGAGGGAGGGGAGCAATGGAGAACTTTATTCATTGATTCATGAGATTTTTTATGAAGTTCACAATATCACGTTACTTGATAAATTTAACAGCCAGTACTCCTAAAACCCTCAAGTTTGACCAGAGGATTTACTTAAAATGATTAAATAAAGAATTACCCTATAGCTTAAGACAGAAAAAACTTGTTTACAAGTCTAGGCGCTCTTACTACTGCAGTGGCTTCTTGCATATTGGGTGTGGTAGTTGTCACCTGGGTCATCAGACAGACCAACGTGGTCTTGTTGACATCCCCTCAGACCTGACACACTATAATCAGGGTCAACCTGTTGCCAGTATCATACAAATAAAAGTACTGTGCCATGACTGTGCCATGACAAGGTTGTATCATGGGTCAGCCTGACAGGTCTCACACACACACACACACACACACACACACACACACATGTGGTCCCTGGGTTACGAACAAGTTCCATTCCTGAGGATGTTCTTAAGTTGGAAATGTACGTAACTCGGAACCCATATACCTATGTGCACTGTATCATAGCCCAAGTCCTTTTATATATCTTGAATCACTTAATTTAAGAGAAAAGAAAGAATTGAATGACAAAATACAGTGAAGGAAAGTGTGTTGCTATAAATTTTACCTTATACAGTACACTACTGTATAAACTTCTGACGGTCGGGAAAAATCGCTGGTCCGGCATTGCTATGGTCCTGACGGTACCGTAAATTCAGTGGTCAACTTGTATATTCTTTGTAATGTACCGGGTAATGTCAAGAAACCTCAAAAAGATGATTTTTCAAATATTAAACCTTGACTTTGTGTCATAACATGTAATTGTTGCACTGTTGTGATTCTGATTTTTGTGTTACTGATAAAAATAATTATACCGGTCAGTGCTTGAAGAATGGTCACAGGCATATACACAAAAGTCATAGTCATGTTTAAAAAAGAAAAGACTGTCTCTCACCCTCTATATAATAAGTTTATGAACTACCATCATATACAGTGCATTAAAATTCACTGTACAATATGGGGCTTAATTCTACTAAATTTTGATTTGTAAAAAGGTAGGGAAATTATTTAGGCTAAGTGAGAAGTGTTTGTTCATTCCCGATACAGTACAGTATTCCTATAGCAGGAGTATATACTGTATAGTGAGGACTGCCTGTAATACATTATTGAGAGAGCAAATGGTATCTGTAGTATGCAGGGATGATTTAATACTATACAGGTACGGTAAACTCTCGATTTTACGGAATCCGATATAACGAACTTGTGATTTAGCGGAAGGAATTTTTTCCGTTATTTTTCACCAAATTAGTGAACTAGTTCGCTTAATTGAGATTAATTCCTTTAATATGCTCACACCTACGGAGACACCTCAGACACATGATATGTACATTGAAACATTATTCATGGCTTACCTTAAACTAGGGGTTCAATGATTGTTTTCAATTTTTTCAATTATAATTTCCAAACTTTTTTCCAATTGATAGCCGTACTCTTTTGACTTTCTCCCCCACACCACTTTTTTCCTGAGACAGTAGTTAGTTGACCGAGATGTAGTCCGAGAGGTAGCAGTGAACAACAAGCACATACAGTGGCGGCAAGACACAGACTGAGCAGATGTAAACAAACGCCACTCACCAAGCGGCACATTTGGCGTGGAATTTAACGGAATCGCGCTTGATTTAGCAAACTAGTTCGCTAAATCAAGTGAAAATAACAGGAATTCAATTTAGCAGAAATTTCATGGAATCACACTCGAAAATAATGGAAATTTGACTCAGTGGAAATTTTGATTTAACGGATAGAGACGGCTCGAATTAGTTTGTTAAATTGAGAAAATACCATACAGTAATACTCGGGAGGACTTGAGAAAAAATAAACTAATTTGTCCATCAATCAACTGTACCCCATCACAAATTACATGAAACGAAACTGGCTTTAACAAATATAAGATGAGGTTAGTGGGATCTTAAAAGCAGATAAATGGAGAAATTAAATATAGAGAAACAGGACATTGACATTTGAACAATAACATCATAAAGTACAGAAACACTGTTTAAGGGTTGTATATGACATCATGGAGGTTGTGTTGTAGATGTAATGCTTAGATTTTGTTTTGTTTTTATAGATGAACTGACAATAATGTACCTTCGGCCAGCGTCCTCCTCCTTATACACTTTTAACTTAATGTGGAACGCCATCACGTGTTTTCTGATGTTTCCTACAGAGCGCTCGATCCCCTCCATAGCAGGGTTGGATCAAATACTGATTCTTAGCGGTCAAATACAAATACTTGTGACATTATGATGCAAAAATACAAATACAAATACTTTTATTCCTTAATTCAAAAATACAAATATAAATACAAATACTTCTGAAATTAAGATGTAAAAATACAAATACTTTTATTTCCAAGTTCAAAAATACAAACCCAATACCTACATATCAGAATTACATTTTATCATCATTAATGCCCGGAAGATTTCTGGGCTCAACTTGGCTCGCTCAGGAGTGTAAAAATTACCAGCTTTGCTAAACACACTCTCAGAAGGTGCCGACGTTGCACAGCAGCCTAGAATGCTCTTGGCAAAGTGCCTCAGAATTTTGAAGCTTTGTATATCACGCCAATACTTCAGTGGGTTGATGTCAAAAGGCAGAACACCTTCCTCTAGGTACGTTTCAAGCTCCGTCTTCACCACTGTAGTGTGGTTTGTTGACGGGCTTGCCATCGATGGCCCAGGTGGAGGCATGTAGGCAAAGAGACGAGGTCTTTTGGCAATTATGCCATCTTTGTCTTGGTTGATGCTCCTGGAAAGTGCATTCTCTTGAATTTCTTCCTTCTGGACCTTCTCCTTGTAGTCCTTGGTAGACTCAGCAATAATTAAGTCCACAATCTTCGAAATCTTTTCTTTCTGCAGTTCCTCACATGGAATCCACGCCAACTTGAATCTGGGGTCCATGGCAGCTGCGGCAATGACATCAATCCTCTCCAGAAATGGATGCAACCTCTTTTTGACAGATGATTGTAGTGCATTTGCCAACTTAAAGCAGTAGAGCGGTTTATTTTCAATGAACAGTTTGAGGCTGTGCTCAAGACCAAATACAACTGGTGCGATGCAAGAAAGTGTAACTATGTTTTCCCCTTCTACTTGCGACATCTCCTCTTGGAATGGTTCCAAAACTTGTACCACTTCTTTTAACATTGTCATTTTAATTCCCTTCAACTCCTCTACAGTCTTCTTTGTTCCTAGAAGACGAATGGCTGAGTTGACTCCGCTGGTGTCCTTGAGAACTGACTTAATCATTGTCAACTGAGAGTTCCATCTAGTAGCATTGGCGGCTTGCAGTGCAACCCCAAACTTTTCCAAGAACGGTGCAGCCACAGTAGATCGACGTATTGCAGCTACAATACTGTAGCACTTGTGTATCACAGTTGCAACTGCACTATTTCTGACACTGGGATCATTGAAGGCATATCTTATGCACAGTTGCTGTGTGTGGGCAAAGCAACTGGACCGCTCTGGTGGAAGAAGAGCAAGCACTTCATCCAGATCAAGTTCTTCTTCCAAAATGTCAAGAGCATCTTCATTTTCATTTTCACCACTACTTTCAGTCCTTACTTCGTCTCCATATAATCCTGGCAGACAGACATCAAATGCTTTCACCGTTGACGAATCATTGTCGGCAACCACCCTCCTCACCTTGCCACAAATTCCGAATTTCATGACAATTTCCTCATATGCTGTAGCGATGTTCACAGCTGTATGTCGTTCCACAAACTGATCGCAAGCAATGACAAGTGACTTCAACTCCCATGACGAGTTGATGAAGTGTACGGTGACGGCGAGAAATGATACCATTCTCCGATTTGTCCAGAGGTCCAGTGTCAGGTAAATACGACTAAGGTGTTCGAATTCTGTCATCAACTGCGACTCAATGAGCTTCGTTCTCTGCGGCAGTAAACTATTTCTGAGTGTGGTTCTGCTTGGAAACATGAATTATGGTTCTGCTTCATGCAGAAGAACCCGAAGCGTCTTGCTTTCCACAATGCTCAGAGGCAGTTGATCACATGTGATGGACTCCAAGAGTTTCTTTGTCATAGACCGCTGTTTGATGTGATTAGCGTCAAATTTTTTCTCCTGTGCAGGTTTGAAGAACGAGGTCAATCTGGGCTGTAACACACAGCTCTCACGCTTCTTCTTTTCCTTTGCAGCTCTCAAGGTCTCATACTCATTATATTGAACTTTGTGAACTCTTCTGAGATGCAGAACTAAGTTAGATGTTGCCTTCGTCGATGCCGAATATGACTTTTTTGCACTGTAGACAGTCGGCTATGAGAGTCCTGTCAGTGGACTTGGTATTAACAGAATAAAACTTTTTCAGTGCAGCTGACAGTTGAGGCATTTGCACGTCCTCTTTATCCTCGATCGAATGGTCATCAGATGTCGATATATCTTGTTTATCCATCTGCAACATGAGAACCAATGTTTGTCAAACTTTAAAGTTCAAACCGAGTTAACACTCGAATGACAAGTGCTTTCTTTATTTGCCATATTTGGTACTACAGTGTATTAGACTATTGTCACGCTCCCTAACCACATACTACTATATTTAAATTAAATAAGAAAAAAAAAACTTTCTCGACAGGATTTTTAATAAACTTGTTATATCTTAATTCACCCACCATGTACAATGTGTTTGTTGAGTTGGGGCGGGCCGTGATAACATAGGAAAACTCAAGAGCTCACGGGACTCAGATTTCAGATTTGCCCCCGAGGGGGCTAGTTTATTGGGCACCCCCTTACATCCTGTGCAAGGTGAAGCGCAGAAGCGTTTACAGCGCCCAACAGGGAAGTATGAAAAGTTCATACTTGCCTTTATGACTCGTACATTAAGGGCGTAAAAGCCTGAAGGGTCATAGGTTCTGTCAAGTTACATAAAGTGAGAGAATGATGAGTGTGTGGGGAGAAAGTTCCCGGTACATTTTATCTGTTTATGGCAAAGAGTGGCAGGTCCCTAATAATGTCAAATGCCAGGCCTGTGACTAGGAGGAGGGATATCTGGTCTGGGAGGGAAGAGGTGTTGGTAACGGCTGGGGACCTGTAGGAGGAGGTCTTAGGGCAAGTGAGGATGTAGTGAGAGAGGGTGTGAGAGTCGGGTTGGCCACAAAGTTTACAAACAGTGCGGTGAGGCTCAGGGTTGCCAATGTACTCCCATAGGTACCTGTACCCTAGGCGCAGTCTCATGTATATAAGCTGTTGAGATCGAGTCAGGGATTGATATTCTTTGTAGTGGCGGTTGTCGTCACCGGTTACAGCGTCATAGTGGCATAGTGTGACGCTACCCCGTTGTTTCAGGTGTGTCCAATTTTCGTTGAATGCCTCTCGTTGTGTGGCGTGTATGCGAGATTTGAGCTGATTCAGGGAGAGGGCGAGAGTGGCTTCAGTATCTTCTTCTTGTGTAGCTTCTTTGGCAAGCCGATCCACAGTGTCACAGGCAGTTATTCCTATATGTGACGGGATCCAAAGAAACTTGACACGGATGTCATCAGTTTGTTCTAGCCCGGCAACGGCGGCTAGGGTGTGTTGGGCGGCAGGGGAGGAGGGGGAGGGTAATTTGAGCCTAGCTAGCGCAGAAGTGCTGTCACTGATTATAAGGAGGTTCCGGCGTTCAGTGCGAGCATAGGTCGCCCCCTCATGAATGCCCGCGAGGATGGCTATGCTTTCAGCATCAGTGGAGGAGGCCCAGTCGTGGACCCTGATTTTCCTGCAGGCCTGGCGCTCAGGAATCCACACAGCTGCCCCAGCGCTGCCCAGCGTGGTAACAGACCCATCACAGTAGACGAGGATAGGAGGGTGGGAGGTCTTTAGAGAGGAAGCGACATCATTAATCTGCTCAAGGCAGTTAAGTTTGAGCATATACCTCAGTTGGGTGGATTTACGACCAGGGAAGGTGTGGACGACAACATCAACACACGGGGAGGTCCACGGCGGTAGAGGCGGATGAGTGTACTCGGGAGGGAGAGAGGTCGAGGGGGTGTAGAGGTGATAACGCAGGATGTCAGCAGCAGTGTGGACGGGCCAGAGTTGAGAGGGAGGGGGGAAAGTAATGGGGACAGGCCGGCGCAGGAGGGTGTTAAGATGTGAGTTCAGTGAGCGCGACAGGGGAGTCGGTTGCTCACTGCGAAGAAGTTTAACACCAAGGATGGCATTGAGAGCAGTAATTCGATTGCAGACGGGAAGCAGGATTAGTTCGCGCTGCATGACTTCTATTCTGGTGGTCATAGGGCAGCCGAGGATGAGTCTCATCGCTCTGTTTTGGATTTTCTCTATGCTTTGTTTCTCGCGCTGGGAGGCAACTACAAGGACAGGAGAGGCATAATCTATGACAGCTCTGACGATGGCAATGTACATGAGACGTAGGACCCTGACAGAGGCTCCTTTGAGGCCGTGAGTGAGGGACTGGAGGGGCCTCGTTCGTTGGCGGCACTGGGAGATGACGTGGGCGGCGACAGCGGAGGTCGTGGCTCTGGTAGTGGCTCGCACAGGTAGACCAAGGTACCTGTAGGTGCGTACTTGATCGATGTCTTGTCCTTGCAGAATCAGTGGTGTCTGACGCCGGAAGCGTGAGATGAACTTGGTTTTAGTGTGTGAGATGACTAGCCCGAGTGTTTGACAGGTCCGGGCGAACGTGGAGAGTATAGGTTGTTCATGTTGCACTGTAGTAATTTGGAGGAGGATATCATCAGCGTAGCTTATGATGTGACCGTCTAGGGCTCGCTCAGCAAAGATGACGTTGAGACGGCAGATGGAGTTCATGAGAACATTGAAGAGTGTAGGGCTGAGTACACCTCCCTGAGGCGTGCCAAGATCAAGGTCCCTGATCTTAGAGTAGTGGCCCTGAAAACGGACACGGGCCTGTCGATGGGAGAGGTAGTCAGCAATCCACGTGAGGAGTTTGCCCTTCACATCCATGTGAGTGAGGCCCTCAAGGATCACTTCACTGTTGGCTTTATCAAAAGCACCCTTGAAGTCGACGAAGAGGGAGGTTTTGGCGGAGGTGTTTGCCATGTAGTGAGCGATGCAGTGAGCAGTACTCTTTCCGGGGCGAAAACCATAGAGGTCAGGGTGCAGGTGGGCTTCAATTTTCCAGTGGAGGCGGTGGAGTATCATGCGCTCCATCATCTTTGAGAAGCAGGAGATGAGGGATATTGGACGATATTCATCTTGTCTGCCTGGTTTAGGGACTGGGATGGTGGTGGCAGTCTTCCATGAGTGAGGCAGCTGACCAGTATCAAAAGAGAGGTTAAATAGACAGAGGAGGGGGTTACCAGGGGTGGCAATAAGGGCATTTAACACATCATATGTGACGCCGTCATCGCCTGGGGCGGTGGACCGACCACGCTTAACAGCATTTAGTAGTTCACACTGTGTGAAAGGCACGTCAGTGTCTGCAAATAGGTCTTGGTACTCGAAGATGCGCTGTCGGCGTTGTGGTTGCAGTGCGA